TCCAGGGGTGGGGATTGTTAAGCATGGGGGAGAGGAAGCGTAGTAATGCATATAATTGGTCTTTATTGTTCCCGAGTTAGCGCTAATTGCTGCCTGTAGATCGGATTAATAACAATAAAGTCTATATTGATTGTTTCCCCTGACGGAAAATGACGGTCGTGCTGTCGGTCGAATGTTACAAAACACAAAAAGAGTGGAGTAACCGAGGAATAAAGTAAATAGATTTGTTGTTAGCATTTTAAAGTGAAAAGAAATGATTTAAAATACACTCCATTCCATAAGTTTGGAAATCGGAAGTAACCTTTTGGATCATTTATCTAAGTCTGTTTAATTTTAGAGAATCCCCTTGTTTTCGCAAATTCAACTGCCGGCTGTCAGCTACCGGACTAACCTTCTATTTTATGGGTAGCTCATTTAATTGTTAATAGTATCTGCCACTATTCAATTCATATTTAATGAGTTGGTCATAAAATAGAAAATTAATCTGGTAGCCGACAGGCGTTAGTTGTATTCACGAATACAAACTAAGTCTGTTTGATTTTAGAGAATCCCCTTGTATTTGCGAATTCAACTGCCGGCTGTCGGCTGATGGAATAACCTACTAGTTTATGACCAGCTCATTTAAATATGAATAGTACCTGACTCTATTCCATTCATATTTAAACGAGTTTGCCATAAAAAAGTAAGTTAATAGCCGACAGTCGAAAGTTGCATTCGCGAATACAAGCTTCAACAGTCCTTTTCCATCTTTGCACGCTCCGGTCTTCTCTGCGACCGAAGTGAGCCGAGTGAACGAAGATGTAACTTTCCAAACTATTGTAACCGAAGATCAAAATTAAGAGTCACACACTAACAAGCTATGAAAAAAGGAGGAGGGAAAGTATCGTAACAGATTTCGGACAGTCATATGTTAGATTTTGACTATTTTCTGAGGATTTAAGCAGGTGCATTAGTTAGACCAATGCATTATCTCCAGGAAAAGCACTCATAGAGATGATAAAATAATTTCGACTTAAGACAGGGGAGATGCAAACAACCCACCCAGATGTTTTTTCTGAAATGTTGTCTTCCCTCTCTCAAAGTCGAAATTATTTTATCATATATTTGAGTGCTTTTCCTGTAAGTAATGCATTGACTTAATATATATACCTGTTTAGATCCTCAGAAAATAGCCAAAATCCAATATATGACTGTCCGAAATCAGTTGCGCTAATTTCCCTCCGCATTTGCACAAATGAGTGTACATAAGAATCACTTGTAACCAGTTTACCCTCTCCCTTCCCAACAGACGCATTATATCATACCAGCAGAAAGCAGATTCATTTTAGGTGTCCATTGTTTGTATCATTAGATGTGATACCATGGATCTACTTCGTGAGATATCACAACCCCATATCAGTTTCCTTCTAGAATATGGATTTAAGTTCCATTTGAGTGTCCCCATTTAACAATGAATAAATTGAAATATAAATATCGATCGTCCTCGTATTCAATGGTGTATAAATGCGTCAGCTCTTCATAATTACATATACTCGATCAGAAACCAAGAAATCGGACCAAACGTTTATGCTACGATTGAAAATGTCGTATACGTACTTTTTCCGTTTTGAAATGATTACCTACAAAAAACAACACGATACGATGAGGGATCAATAGGTAATGGGCGTTTTTTTACAGAGATACTTTGAGTTTTCACCAATCATTGATCATATATCACAAGTGATTCACCATTCTAGGCCTACTATCCTTCAACCCTGAAAAGAGTCAATGATCTTTAATACCAATCAATTCACAATCCAAACAACCTCAACCAATCAACGTGATTTTATTGACAATCAACCTATAAGATTAACATCTCTTATTCCCGGGTGACTTTGCATCATAAGTAGATTATCCACGTGTTATGGCGAATTTAAAAAACAAGCCTTGTCAATATCTGGAAACTTTTTTGAGAACCTACTCAAGTTCGTCATTGGTATTTGATAATTGATCAATACAACCAAATCTGATCTATTATAATGTTAATAAAACTAATCCGACATTGGCATTTTTCATGTTACGTCAAATCTAGAATCCCGGGGATTATTCCATCAAATAGAATTATTAATAGATTATATGATTCTTTGTTTGTAATTTGAAACCTCTTTGGGATTTCGCGTATATGTTTTTGTACTTGAAATAAGTATTGTAATCAAGACTCGAACTCAAGATTCAGGGATTAGGATTTGTGTCGAAGCGGATATGCTAGTTGTGTTGACCTAGTGATATTGGGGTCCGGTATTCAGTCAATTCCTTTACTTTGCTTTTGTTAAGCAGATTTAAGCAATACCACTTCTTCTTCTATTTAACAAACCCAACAAACAAACAAACTAACCAAACAAACAAGCAAACAATCAAGCAAGCCAAGGATGAACAATTAACAGAAGTCGCATCGAGTCGTCCCGGGAAAGGTTCACTTATATTAAAGTTTGAATTGTATCGTTCAGTGCACACTTCAAAGAAAATCCCCCGATTATACTTAAATGTTGACACTCACACTGTACCCACCTGTACACCATCGTAACTTGCTGCACAAACAGACTGTATTTACGACAAATTTAATTTGTATGACAAAAACCTGCAACTTTTCTTTACCAATATCCGGGCCCCATTGCAAGCTTTGAAGCGTGATCTCCACTAATATTTAAACGGAATTTACCGAGCCAGACCGGAAATTATTTTGATTCAGTTGGCTGTTTTGATATCGTTTGTTATACGATCTCTTAGCCCTCACCCGAAAATAAAGATTTAGGATGGTCCTGGTTTTCTCGTTTATTTATAGTAAATAGAAAGGAATATCGGGAACGGATGGTGTGCATTCTTAAAAAATTGTAGGGCTCTCTTCCAGCGACGCTTTTTAGCGATGATACAGAGTTAGCATCCCCGCAGATTAGTTTCCTATTTAATAAAAATCATAAATAAACGAGTATTTCAAACGCTGTTAATCTTCAGATACCTTATAATATGTTTAATTAACTGCTTTTGTGATATCACTTTGTGCGCTACCTGTTCTCTCCTAAGATGAAATTATTTTCCCAGTCGCGTAAGATGTAATGAAATAGTTAATTGAGCAGCTATGAAGTTGTTTGAAGACGCTTTGTATTTGTTAAGGGACACTTTCAACTTGTAAAGCAGGCTTTAGCAGGGATTTGTAACAGTTATAATTAATTTGAATGAAGCCTTTGGTAATTATTGACATATTAAATACCAATCGAATGGCGTTCGGTATTTCTATGTTTAGCCCGAGAATTGAAGGATTTCTGTCGCTTCTGATTACTCCTTCAGTTCAACTTTGATTTTTACGTGACGTGTTCGGTAAAAAGCCGCTGGGTTAAAAACTGAGGAGTCTCTAAGCTTAGGGTTTAAAGAGATGAACACATACGAGTCTAATCCCGGGGACTTTATCGGTGATCGCCACCTACGGTAGGGCAAAGCTATGTCCTTTCATCTTGCCGCGACCCTTTCCTCGTGTACAACGGACCCCACGTTTGCCGAGTAATGAAACAGTAGCGTTATCATCACACGGCCGGGGTATTACGTCTTCCAAAACTTCATTCCCCTCGTAAAATCCTCCCAAGGAGAGGCTCTTATCGCGTTATTACTTGACTATTCCTCGCCAACAAATCGAGGGATTGTTTCTATTCGAAAGGGCAGCCCTTCTAAATATACAGGTGGGTAATTCGAACGGTAAACAAATCAAATCTCAAAAATGTTCTTTTTAATCATAAAAATTAGTTTCAATTGAATAGAACACGATGTTTCAGAACAGCAATTACCGAGTGTTTGCACAATCAAGTGATACGTTCGGTTTAGAGATCAGAACTAAACCGCATTTTTATGTTCGTAAAAATGCCGTGTTTTCTCTCAGATGAACCCAAATAGGAAAACTGTTAAATCTAAAGAGTTACATAAACGTAACAATCAAGTGATACACTCGGTTTTAAAGATTAGAACTAAACCACGTTTTCATTTCTTTGCCCATTTCTCTCAGTTGAACTCAAATAGGAAAACTGTTATAATTTAAAGAGTTACATAAACGTTTATTTACTCTCTTTGCCGAGTTCCTTGTTCAGAGGGTCACACTACATTTTACATTTTAAAATTAGACCATCCAGAAATTATGGAACTTAGAATAGGCTATTTGCTGTTTGACTTTGGGATGGAGTCTCTTATGCCATAATGCAAGATTTCATTTTTTCGAAATATGTTCCCAAATCAGATTTTTGAGAATTATACCGAAATTTTGCGTTGGCGTCATCGTCATATTTTTCAGAAAGAAAGCCCCGACACATCTAATTTGAAGCCATTCTGTCAAGAATTTAAATATTTTCCTGGCATGAATCAAATAGAAAATAGATTCTGAAATAGGTGATACAAATGGTTTCTTGAGTTGGTATTAACCTCGATACTTCCATAGTAGGAGTAAACTTTGCGATTTTCGACGATAATTCACGATAATTATAAATTCATTAAAATGTTGCAACGTTCGGTATTTTTATCTTATTCTGTTGTTGTTTTCAAATGATGAATGGTGCCTTAATTTAGACAAAGAGCGAGTAAATACGTCATAATCATTAAAAATATATGATGAGTTGTTTTTTCGTTGACTACATCGTGGGCAGTGTTTGTGAGTATTTTGAACCCACTGGGTGACACATCCTACTTCCCCATTATAAAAAATAAGCACGTAACTATAGTAACTATAAATCAGATGTTTGGTCCTAGCAACCAAATGAAAAAAATTTTGAGATGCGAGATTCAAGGACCTTTACGTTGCATCTATAATCATATTAGATACGCAACACAAGTACAATACGCAACACAAGTACAATATATGAAGGTATGACATTCTTGGGGAAGACAGTGGAATATTATGTATATGGTACACACCAAGACACTGAATTTTTGGATTTCTTTAACCATTTTTTGTTATGATGTAATGCTCCTTTAAGGAAACTTACGTTGTCTCTGACTGGAATGTGTTCCTCCTATAAGACTTGCGATATCGTAACAGCTTCTTCGTTTTTCTCCTTCCATCTTTTTATTCTTTAAAACTCCCTTGTCAGCCGTCAACGTCCTAAAACCAAAGTGACGGCTATAATAACATAGATTTATTTTATTGACTATTTTTATTCTAAGATAGTCTAGCATAACTTCCTTGGTGAATATTTCTAAATTTAGGCCAAAGGTTTCATTTTAATTATTTGTTATTGTACAGAGTAAATTTATTGTATCTGAATGGGAAAGGAGTGTTTGAGATTGTTTCTTTTCGTTAGGTTATAGATTTGGATATTGTGGTTTTTGTTTCTGCTCTGTATAAGGAATTAGATCATTGAATTGCTCTGTTTACCCCTCCATATTGTATCCTGGTTTACAGGCGAAAAACAATCATGATATACCACAAAATACGAAATTAACGAACAGTGAAAACTGATAGAAAATTGAATTAAGAATTAACCACAGTTTTAATCATTAATCAAACTTCAAATTACATTTTACCAAATTATATTTAGTTAAGTAATCAAAAAATAAAAAATAATGAACCTCTTCATAATTACTATAACTATTATTTCATATCATCATAACCATCATTTTTTCAAACTTAATACAAATGTCATGACAAACCCTTTTTATATCTGTATGCTTCTGAAAAAATTGATCATCAATTTTCATAACGTCACCTATTTTAGATAATTTATTTGACTGTAAGAGAATCTTAATTTGACTTGCATCCATAGCAACAGTATTTCTAATGTTGTCATATAAATTTTACTTCAAAACATTGAGATTTTCATTGCGGAACTCAGAAGCAAGTGTATTGAATTATCCAGTCCAATTATCCCCTGATTAATGTAATTATTTTTCTATTTTATTTCGAATTACTAAACTATTGGCTTTCCGGTAGTAATTGGGAATTAGGGAACTAAATGTGTTTGATTAATGATTACACTTAAAAAATATCATAGAATGGAGAAGCTCAATAGTGACAGCTATTGTATTTGTGCTGTACAATTTGACCCCGAAATAGGATGGCTTTGAAAAAAACGTTGGGGGCTAAAGATCGAGTACCAATTTCTACAGAGTTAATATTTTTTACATTTTAAGGAGGCATTTGGGACTTTTCCCATTTCATTGTAAAAGTACATGTCAAAAAGATACTTCAAGGAATTTGACTGGTTCAAAAGTACCACTCACGTGATATAAACACCCTCGTTTGCGGTGCATCGGTGTCCTCGCGTCTGTCAATAAGCTAATTTAGCTCGTAATAGATATTTTCTGGATGTGCAGTGAGCCCACCCATGTTTGAAAACCCAACAAATCTCCTTAATTTATATAAGTATGTATGTTTCACCTAAGTCAAACTTGATACCTGGAACGTACATCGCTTGTAATTTTAATGCATTATTGAAATCAGTTTGACAGGCCAGGTATGATGGCAATGGTGACAATTGATTGTATGTGAGATTACCGAGTGTTTTTCATCATTTTTTTTTGGATAATTAAAGACGCCATACAAATTATTTATCGTTAATGACTAACACTTTTTGACAATATTATTTTCCTGTTTTCAAATTTTTCGTTTCACAGTTTTGGCAATTGATAATTAATGACGCTATACAAATTATGTATTGCTATTTAGATCAACTTTTTTGTCAATATACCAATAACCTCATTCCAAAGGGCAATATTGTGAAATAATGGACCAAGGGCCGAATGACAGAGGACCAAGATGTCCTTATGTTGCCTGCTGATTAATAGGGGGGGGGGGGGCACATTTCAAATCAGGAAAACATTTCCGGGAAAACTTTTTTTGCCCCCAAATTTAAGGCTGATTTTTTGATAATTTTGCCGAGTGTGTATGGGCTTAAAATCTTTTTGGGCCCAAATTTTTACTGGCCCCACCCGATATCCACAAATGGTTATAACTATTATCACCTCATATTAAAAACTGAGTACATATTCGCTTTTCGCCAGGGCACAGGGCACTATGCATGGCGCCACCTTTTGCTGAAGTCAACGTAGTAAAATAAAAGCCATCTAAACTAATTATTAACTAATACCCTGAGAAAAGGCCGAGAAAGGTGGTGATAACACTATTCTTATGTTGACAAATATTTCAGAGATGTATAGAATAATTATTAGTTGTATTAATTGTATTCATAACTACTCACAGTTGAAAACCAGGTATCTCTGTCTCATATTAATAAATTGATCTATGAAAAGAAACATTTGTTTGTAAAACGACAACGGGAACGACAAGAACTGACTCACCTTTTTCAAGAGAGCCTAATACAAATATGTAAAAAATGACATTTCAAATATTTGAAGCAACCTTTCCGAAACGCGATTTAAGTTACTGTTACTCTTTAAATTATCTTAATTACCAAAAATGAAATTGATATGTCCGTGGACATGAAGATATTGTGTTCATCCAATAAAATCTCAACTAAATTACTTGAACAAGTGATTACTGAGAATTTGCCCCGGAGAATGTTTACCTGTCACCCTGATGGAAAATAAGGTGAGATCGTGAGACCAAAAAGTCTTCTTCAAGTTCATTATTAGATAATCTGGTATCTGAGCAAATAGGCTATTGAAGTTTAGAATACAGAAATTGTCCAAATTCAGTTTAATTGAAAAGTTGGCCTATTTAAATTATTATTTCCAAATAAATCAGTAAATGCATCATTAGAAAAATGAAGTAAGACTGGTATATGGCAATTTAGTGAAAACAGTTTTTCTAACTCTCAATTCGTGGTCGAATCATCGTTGCCCCTTTAAGATTAAAAAAAATTTTTTTCTACTAATGAGAGAGATAAGTAATATTTCTCTAAACCTCTGTTATGTATACATGTATTATATTTCATTTAAATACATAAACTTTCATACATTACTGTAAACTTACCCTATCTTCTTATGTTGTTAATATTTCGTCCAAGCCGTATTATTTGGCGTTTACGCTGTCGTATAGAAGATTAAATGATCATCACCGAGCGCCGCTCTTCTTTTATCAACGCAGTACATAAATTGATAAATATTTTACAAATTGTCTTCATAAAACGTGCTGTGAGATATTAAACCTCTCTTTGAAGTAATTGTCGATATTTAATACCAATCATTGGTTAGAATTGTGTTTTTTCTGCGATAATTGTAATATTTATTCAGCGCATTATTGCAACCAATAGCGGAGCTTTCCCGCGGTTTAAGTGTCGTCTGCTCCTTCATGTGTATTGTCCAATTACTCTCTGAATTTTCAATGAAATGTTACATTTTCTTGCATTTTTATACAATTTAGAAACCGGGCTACACATCTGTTTACTTTTTCTTAATTGATTCCTTTACAATTCAACCCATTTTGAAATTTAAGCATGCCCATCGTGGTAGTTTTATGTGTGGACAAGCGTGTGTGGTTTGCAAGTTACTGCTCTACTGGGTGACTGTTACAAGCCACAAGCCACGCCTCCCTATGCCTCCCAGTGAAATAGAAACAGAGCAGTTTGATGAATTTACTGAAGCTTAGTAGTCCTGATACGTCTGATAAGAGCTCAGATCTTGGTATAAGCTTGACAAAATGGTAATGTATATTCTCACGTTTGCAGGACTTTTAAAAAATGTTATTAGAATTATGTTCTTTAACTTCAAGAGTTCTGCTATCAGTCATTCTGATTCATCAGAGCCCATCTTTATGTTGCCTTTATTCCAAGGCATGGTACAGGCTTTGGGTTTATCTACCCGGGGATAATGCACTGAACGAAACTCATCTTGTATAATAAACTCAATGTGACACAAAAACATGATCTGCAGAGTCATTAATTTTAGCAACCTGTGAAATTAACCGCTTAGTGAAGATATCCATTTGGATTATTATATTAATAAATTAGATCTTAACAGATCCAGCTGACGCGCCTTGAAACAAGATTTCACCATAGTTTGGTTTCAAACTGCACTTTATTGATGGAAATATATAATCCCAGGTGAATAAAATTGAACAGATATGGCTGTTGAAAAATCAGAGAGTATTGACACCTTGAATACCATGAAACCTTATCAATGACTAACAAGAAATAAAGTTATATAAACACCACTGTATATATATTTCATGGAAGGGATAATACCATATTGGCGTTTGGGATTTTACCACGAGGCGTGTTAGACATAGTTTTTGCTATTTTTTCTTTATTCTAGATTGTTTTATTTTTGGAAAAATCTCAATATGTTTATCTCAAAATGTTGTACCTAAAAAGTTGATTTTGCACTCTGAGCTATATTTTGGACGATTGGCAAGAGTTGTATGAGAGAATAGATATCTGTATAATCACAAAAAATAGTTTATTATACGCAAGCTAAGTTGGTAGATTAATTCAATAGTCAATACGTTCAACTTATTTAAGAGAGTTGTAGATATGAATCGAACTACCACATTTAATCCAATATTAGTTTTTAACAGGAGTTTCATAGAAAGAATTATTTTAATATTCGAATTCTTTTTCTAAGTCTTCTCGGCATAGATTGGATATTTTCTCTTCTCTTCAATATTCTCTTTCATCATATTTGAACGCGAAATAATATCAATCGGGTCATATTCTAAATCGTGAAATAGAGTGAAAAAGAGATGAATTAGCAAGGAATAAAGTAATCAGGCGTATTGTAAAGAATTTTAATTGTACAAAACTGCTGAAAATTTTGACACTTCATTTAAATTTTCGAGAGAAATCAATGGAATTTGAAGGAGCAGACGACATTTTAAATTTAGGACTAGCCTATGCAAAAACTGTAAATTAATTAAGCCTAACAAAACATAACATAATGATAGGTACCGTACACAAAGATTCTACAATTAATAAATATTATTGTTATTCACTCAATTAATGAACAATTTAGCAACAAGCCATGGGGAACGCTTCCTTCATTTATACCTATGTGAAAATCGAGTTTCAATAATGAAATTGATTACAAACACCAAAGGGGGTCCATCATTGGATTCAGAACGTATCATCTAAGACCAATACGCATGCGCATTGTAAAATTCGCTGGTAATGCTGCATGATGGGATGGGATCTCCGTTGGGGATTGGACCAGTGATCATGGGAACAAACAAAGGAGGTTCTTGCATGAGCTTCGCCCTGTAACGCATTCAATTATTTCAACATTATAACAGTTCATAAATTAAAATTACTGAAATTAAAAAATTAGAATAATCAAAACTCTTAAAATGTTTCAACTGGGTTTTCATTTTGTATATCAAATTATCTCTTGCTTTAATGTGATTTGTCATTTTCAGAATGACTCTCATCTAATTATTTTATTTGAAGTGTACCATGAGGTTTCTTTCTCTTGAAAGCCCATGAGTGAACAAATGGTCGTCTATGTGCACTTTTCTAATTTTGAGAAAATGCAAAAGCATCATTTCAAGAAAAATTGCAAATCAGTTATCTGCTTATTATGTAAAAATCATTTCTTCAAATATATGATGTATATAGTCTGAGACTAACATAGAGTTTTATGCATGTCTCAGAGCTAGCCTATTCTGTTTCTAAGCAGGCGATAGGACATGTTTCGTTCTGTCTTTACATCTGACCCAAGTATACTCCATTATCATACAAAATGAATCATATAAAAGGTGTATGCATGCAGCTTTTTCGATTTTTAAGATGGTACAGTAATCATTCAACATCATATCAGTTTTTCATAATATTTTCAGTACTCTTGCAGGCTCCTAGATCATGCATCTGATAGTCATCAACAATAAAAATATAGTCTCGATCTCATATATTCGGGCGTATTATTGAAACAATTTCTCATCACGGGAATGTTCATGGCTACCAATGATTAAAACAGTTTATTGTAAAATTACACTGTAATAAAATAATCATAAGCATTTTAAAACGTAAATTAGGCCAGTATTGAATTAAATTAATAGTAGATGTGGCGCTATGGTATAGCGCAACAGGTGTCTGGGGGCGGGGCAGGGGCCCAGAAAAATTGGCCTGAAACCTCTTTAAAGGCCCGTTTAATGGGCCTTTTTGGGGCAAAAATGGGTCTTCAAAGCCTTATTTTTTTAATTTAGGCCAACTTTTCAGAAAATGGGGCTTAAATTTTCAAAAGTTGGCCCCACTTTGTGGTTTTAGGGGCAATTTTTTTGCAAGCCCCAAATCTTTTTTCAGACTTCAAATATGCCCCCTTGTTGGTTTCTGGATCCGCCCTTGTCTACAGACTCGATACGAAAATGAAACTCTAGGGTTTTACGTAAGTTGTTGAAGAGTTCTTCATTGTCTCTAGTAAGATTATTACTCTTGCATGATCCCATTTTTTGTACAGTTATACAATGTACACTTTTTCAAAATATTATATTACTAATGAGATTTGCCGGAGATTTGCTTCAAAGTCGGCGTAAATATCAAACGCCACGAATCCCAAAAGGCGTGGCACCTGGTATTCAGGTCATAAGACATCAGTTTCGCAAGTTATAGGTGATCCGATTGTTCCAAAAGGGTACTTTATGAAAAGCGTTACTAGCTCACAATCACATTCCAACGTATTATCATAATGATATACCATGACATCTCATTTCTTCTCAGCCCAGGTGAAACATAAAGATGCTATGAGTATCAGAATAACGTATTATACCTAGGATGAAGAAGAGAATACTAATCAATGGCTAGTTGTCACCATTAACAGCGTTTGAAGCATTCAATAATTGAAAGATGTCGCGTCCGTTTGATATCTAGAAATGTCCCCGGGTATCTGGTTTGCTCATTTTGTACTAAACGAAAACAAAAAGTGGTTTGGTACTATTTATCTATATGAGTCCGCTGTTTTTATTTTGCTAATATTAAGCCTAAAAACTGCATAATTACGTGTTATTTACACATTTTAGTATCTTAATTGTAAGAAAGTTTTGTTTTGCCACTCACACAAGGGTTATAATTTTAATATTGAATCTTTAATCCATGTTATACGAACTATATGTAACGCGGAAGTAAAAATACGAAATATGACCACACCCTTCCAAGATGGCCGACCAAGGACAAAAATTTAATTTTTCATTAAATGTTAATTAAACAGGTGGGTACTGCTAAATATGTTTGTTGTTGATAAGCAATATGAAGCTCTTTATAGAACCACATTATATAGTTATAGTTTGTAGCGTTTATTTTATCAAATTTCAATGGTAATACGTAAACATTTCAGATTTTGAAAAACTGAAAAATAATTTTTCCAATTTTTTGCAAGTTTTCTGAAATTGGTTATGATTCATATTTTGCTTTTGCAGTGACACTCCCAATTAAAGCCACAAACTCTCCAAACTCAACCGAACAATTGGTCATCAAGAACACATACAATCTACTGTCAATTTATTATCAGTGTTATTAGACATTGAATCAGGCCCATCAAATAGTGACACATTGAAAATGTAGCCAAACAGAATAACATTGAACCAAAAATCCCTATACGAAGGCAGGGCAAGTCTATTATAAAAAAATTAGGACTCCGATAAGAACAATAAGTGTGACTCAAATAGGAATATTACATCGTAACAAGGACGTGTAAAGCTGAAAGTTGTCCTCGATTCACATATAAGTCAAATGAAAGTAAATGGGATGGAGAAATCTGGTGGAGGTGTAAGTATAGTGCTCATTTACTTTTCACTTTTAGTTAATGACCCCAGGTTAATGACTTCCCTGCATCAAGCTCTACTGCTGTACATAATTATGTTAAAATATGGGGGAATTGAGAGAAAACATGTTCTACGGAGCCTGTTGGTCAGGCAAAGTTAAATAATGCTAATAATAGATACATATTCTATGGAGCCTGCTGGTCAGGCAGAGTTAAGTTAACGTGTGTGGATGTACCATCCTGCTTCTCTCATTCTTTCTCAAAAAAACATTTGTTTCAATGTAGAAAGTCGGATGATAAATTCTGTAAGACAAAAAAATAAATCGGTGTTCGTCATAGGATTTTTCTGTCACTCGACAAGTGGCAATCGACTGTATTTTCACACTCACCAGTGAAAAACTACACTCGCCACAGTGTTGCCTCTGATGACAAATTTTACAATATGTATACTCACAGATTTCTTGTGAACAAAATTCTTTAAAAAGAAAGTAATGTGTTTATGAAAGTACGGTACTTATAATTGTCTTTATTCTATAATATTCAACAATGGCGAATTTCATGTGAGACAATGTGGCAAGGTACTTCAATTTTACACTCGACTCTTAATATTTACATCCGCCTGGGGCTACTGTCGAGTGGATGTGACCCATATTGTAAATATAGGATTTTTAAAGTCGTGTTCCAAGGTGTTGACTTGAGAGTAAGACACATATTGGTTGTACTCTTCTGAGTAACCTTACCCCCTCACTGTGAGGTTTTGCTGCAATGGTACCCTTTGACAAACAGTAATAAATTGATAATTCTTTGCTAGCTTGAGGTAAATCAATCAACAACTGGCATTTCATTCTTGAGTTAAAGGATTTTAAATTATAATATAAAGAATTGGTCTAAGCTGTTTTCTTTGAAAAAGCTGTAACTAGACATATATCATTCTTTAAAGGACAACTGAAATACCTTTTCTCAACTTGCAGCTACAAAAATGCGGTTTTCTCCATTGTAAGCCCAACGTAGAGTTCTTGTGATAGCCATTGTAAAATAAATGTTAAATAACTGCTAACGGTCATAGATAACGAAATAAAACTAACTGATCAATCAAATTGGCCCCCACGTGATTAGTAACGTCATATAGAAAATATAGCTTTGGTTTATTGGTACCTTAGTAATCACAACGTCACGGCAACCATAGGATTGTTGTGTAAACAAATAACAAAACATTTTGGCAATATGACGTCATGATCTAATGTACCAAAACGGGCCACGTGGGGACCAGTGACAGATCACGTGGGGGCCAATAACGTCACAACCAATTCGAATATTGCTTATTAAGCAGCTATAACATCGTTAGAGTGAAATAATTTTCACACTACTGATGAGAAAACATGTCCAAATACATTTATCAAAAAATTATATTGATTCCTTTAGGTTAAAAATACCATTTCATATCTGCTTTAAATGATATTCTCTCCATGTGTAAAAAATCATAAAATTTCTTAGTAAGTATAAGTAAGCTCAATATCCCATTTGAGATTATACTAACTGAGTTTCTTCTGAGTGAATGCCAATTTCATTTAATTCAAGGTAATTTAAAAGTTTCAGCTGATTGACTTTGTCAAGCCCGAATGATTAATTTTACTGTCTACATTACAGTAACCTTTGTAAAGTTAGTTATTATTATGTCATAGTCATGGTCTCCATCTTTTTGCGGAAGGTGTTTGGCATTTGGTGTTTGATGTTCAACAGTTGGTGGTTGGTGTCTGAAACAAATGGCAGGTGGTGACATTTTGCATGTTTATACCTTGTATATCAATTATTGAACCAGGAAGTAAATTAAAAAATAATTTAAATTGAACTGAAAAATTTAATTCAAGTTTACTTTTTAAGCTATGAAAACATTATGTGTGTTCTTTTTACAAATCGATCAGGTTAACAAACAGAACAAAGATAAGGGTTTCACATATAAATGTCAGTAGTATTGACAATTGCATTTGGTTATATATCAGAGTTAAAGCTGATTCAAATCAATATGTGCTTGTACTGCACTGAGTATATATTTAAAGCTTAAAAGGCCTCACGTTTCATGGTTATTCATCAATCATAAATCACCATTTGCCATATTTTGTAGAGGTGTTACGGTCCAAAAAGAAATTAGGGACTGATACTGGGAAGATCAGTTTCATAATATTTGAGATGGAATAGGTTACTTGATAAATAATCCCTATTGTTAAATAGTTTAACTCATGCTGTTTCTCTAATTATATATTAAATTACTCAACAATCATACTGGTAGATAAGCAATGTGACATAACGAAAATAATAATAAATTATAGCAAAGTCATCCAGAATAGAGCTATTTTATATATTAAGTGGTACTTGTTTTACTGCCTCAAATTTTAATTCAAATATTTTTGCTCAAAATTCAAGTTAATGGCTGGAAAGTGATCACTCTTTTGCCTTCACAAGTACGTTTAATTTCCCCAAATAATAAATGAGGCAGTAATTCAGAATTGAAACCCTATGTTTTATATGATAAGCTGCATGTACAGGTCTTCAAATAACTTTCATTCCTTTAAATAGAAACTATAAATTGAAAGGTTACCATAAATTAATAGATGTCACTTAGCTCAGTACAAGTAGTTATAATCATATTCAATTATGTCATCTCCACTTTGATATGATATGCTACACCCTAATTGCAACTAGTTCAATATTTCAGTGTTGTCTCAAATCGCAATTGATTATACAGTACATGTATTTTAGATTTAAATTTAATTTTTCGATGACATTATTTAGATTAGACCCCCTCCCTCCCCAATAGATGAATTTGAACATTTCTTTTGAATAAAATTTAGGTTACGGTATGTTATAAAAATTGATGTACTGTTATGTAATACAAACTGGTCTTTTACCCCCTTTCTCCCAAACATTATTCATTACATTTGTGGACAAGTATTGCTATGTTGACCTATGGTCTTCTAATGGGCTCTATCAAGTTATGCACCATTTCATTGTTTTCCCTCCAGCCCTCCCATTGACCATTACCACATACATGTACATACCAAAATGCAAGCTGGGACACGGGGGTAAAGCAGACCCGATGATGCAATGAGCTTGCTCGGCGGTATCATGACTGTGTAACGGGGCTTAATGTATAAGTGTGCTCGGCGGTAGGTTCAAACAACGCGGATCCTCAAAGCATGTGCTCATGGTATATTCGTGTTTTAACACCCGTGTGGGAGAAAGCTGGGAAAGTATGTTCTGGACTAGTTTATGAAGCTATAAATAAATACTGGAAAAACTACTGTGAGTGTCAGACTATGAAATAACCAGCATATTATGGTTATCCCAATATACATTGCATCAACAGGTAGAAGGGGGGGGGGGGTGCAGATTCTAGATGCCCATTTATCAATTTATACGTGGTTGAGTTGACTTTATTATACTTTAACATGTTGAGTTGCATAGAAGTATGTACAAGCAACTCTGTTAGACTATCCATGAGTGTAATTTGGGGTCATTGGTCCTAAATGACACATCACCACATCTGTTACCCAACATTCCAGTAGAGGTAATTATGCACGAAGCAGCCTGATCAATCCCATGATTCTTATGCTGTCCTTCTAGGATTTTTGAATATGATTGGTGGAATTGTTCATAGAGGATTTCTGGTTAGGTTCTTTTTGTCACATAAAAAATTGTCATGGAAAATAAACCCTTGGTTTACCCATGAGACTCTGGGGCAAATTGCTGCGACCTGTGATTTGATTGGTCAGAAATCAAATCACACGATCATCAATAGAATGCTGGAATCATTCATTGTCTACCTAAAGTACGCTCATGTGGAACATTAGCAAGGGAGATCCAAAAACGTAATTTTTAACGATATAATAAAACATAATCATAACATAGATTTAATAAAACGTCTAATTTACGGATTTATTAAATTTATATCATAAAAAAACAACAGCGCTCGACAATCTGTTTGGAAAACAAATTATAATTGGAGTTATTTGAAAATAAGAAATTGTCAGTTACTGAGTAAAACATGAATGAAATGTTATTAGCAAGATAGAAGCAAATAAAATAAAAATGGACTCATTGTTACTCATGCTGAGTGCACTAGAAACAGCTTCAAAATCTAAACTCACATCTTGGCGGGACAATATAGAGGCTTAATACTCTGAATATGTTATGTTTACGTTGTATGAGTGGAAGTGTCGTATTGCGACATGTATATATATGGGACCCCACTCAGAATCTAAATGCAGCTCAGCATTTTTCTGATGATGGCGATGAGTTGAAATCTAAACAGGACTTACCATCCGATGACATTTATTCCCAGGATGTTATTTCCTCGAAAGGTAAGACTAGGCATCACTCGGTAGTTGCTCCAAAAACCAACAAAGATCAAGAAACAGCTAATAGTGGAAGCATAACCAATGAACTGAGCACAATCAGAGAGCAAAGCACAATCAGAGATCAAAGCACAATCAAGGAGCATAGCACAATCAATGATACAAGCCTTACTGAAGATTGTGTGCTAAAATGTCATACCACAAGGAATCAAACATCTTCTTTGAGGGAGAAAAATACTGCGAAGTACCAGACTCAAATCCAGGAATATAAGACATTACCCAATTTTGCTCATGAACACAAGCTTAAAGAACCAAGAACAGATATTGATAGTGCTGAAGAAATCCCCACAAATTCAGAATTTCTGAGGAATAACTGTGCAAAAAAATTCTTAGATCCTGACACACGTGAAACATCTAATAGATTGTCACAGCATCACATTGACAAGTCATGGATTGTGCATAATCTTGACATAACCTCACAAACTGATGACATCACAGCAAAATCAGATGACATCACATCTCAAAGTGATGACATCAGAGCAGAATCTGATGACATCACAGCACAATCTGATGACATTACATCTCAAACTGATGATATCACAGCACACTCTGATGATAAGACATCACACAGTGATGATATCACCACCAAGAGTGATGACATCATTCAACATGCCAACGATGACTTAAGGTCAATTACAGATACTGATAGGAGTTCCTCTACAGTACACCAGGTATATTTAGCGCATAGCAGTTGGGTAGTCTAGTTCAACGCCCCTCCCAAACAAAATACCCTCAAGTGTTACACAAACTATTATTGCAAAAATTTATCATACATCTAGCTATAGACAAAATAATTGTCAGAATTTTGCAAGATTTGATATTCTTGTCATTGACGTTGATCATTTCATCTGTTTGGTTGCTAATTTTTATGTTTCTCGTCATCAGGGGTTGGTATGGTCTTTGTAATTAATATTCAGAATTCAGAATTACTGGGTTGTTAAGTTCATAGGGTGTATTAGAAATTCTGATGAAAACTTTTGAAGGTTACATGAAGACTGCCCTTGTTATCTAAAGCACTTGAAGTTTCTGATACTACAGTTCTAAGAATGAAGTCAGATATAAAACATACCAAGTTCAATGATTGAGTTATGTATAAGTAACATCGTCTCAAATGACTTTTTCCTTCTTGATGGATTTTCTGTATCTATTCCTATAGCCATTGAATTGCCTATGGACTTTGAGAATGGATTTTATCTATCCCACATCATTTGAGACTGAATACTCTTAATCTTTATGAGTACTAGTATCTACAACTATTTTTGATGTCATGAGTATTGGTTATCAATTTTTCAATTTTTCTTCAACATGTATTGTTATGACTTCAGTATGAATGAAATGTCCCTTGGTGTTCTGGTCCTGGATTGTGATATTGGTTCTCGATTGGAGGGGAAGGGGATGTTAGACATTGTTTCTTTTCACGTTAGATCATGGTTTTGGGATATATAGCGTCTACTTTTCTTATGACAGATTTACACTTACAGTTTGCTTTTCTTGTTGGGTTTCCTTAAAGTTTTTAGTCACCCTTCCCTTTTGGCATTTGTGCTTATATATTCCTTAAATATACAGTAAAAACCTGTGTCTTATCCAAGCACCACTGGGACCACTTTTCAATTGGAGATAACAAAAAAATAGGGGCAAGAAAGGTGTTCACATTGAGAGGTGTTCAGATTAGAGAGATGGTCAGATTTACAAGTTTCATCATAGTTGATTTCGCTATTAATGCAAAATACCTTCATTAACATGAACAATTTAGAGAGTTTGTAGCTGTAACTATGCTGATATATCGAAGTCTGGAAAAGCAAAGTTAAGCAGTGAAAACCATATTTTGTATTTTAAGACCTCGCTTTTTCTTTTTAGCATCCATTCTTAAATATATATTAAGTGGACTTTACTTTGCAAACTAGCTTCAACCACAATTTAAATATGCTGATTCATTTTAGTCTGGAAAAGCCATGATAATCTGACAGCATATTTTTATTCCAACATCTGGAGGCCTTTAAGTGATGACTCAATGACATTAATTATAACAACTTGTACAAATTGACATCTACCCTGAACTTATACTAGCTGAGTTGTTTATTGCCCTCTGACTAAGATTGATGATTTTAATATATTGTGTTTTCAAATGAAAAGATAACTGAAGAGCATGTTTTATGTTCACCAATTAATCTAAATATAGGGGGAGGGTGAATAGAGATCTACCCATCATATATTTTGGAAACTATTGCAACAATTTTAACTTGCCTTAAAAATACAAAATTTATGTAGAACAACTAGAAATTTCCATATACATGTATCTAATTTTATACTGAAATCAGTTTTGTAAAGGGTAGTTGACATCTTATCAAGCCTTTAAAAAGTGTCATACTAACTTAAAGATATAGCATGAAAAACATCTTAAGCCAGTTTTTATATCACCTTTATGAAGTGGTAACATATTGTAAGGGCTTCACATTTGGCCATCTTTGCCCCAAAACTGCTTGATTTTGAAAGAATTATTTTTTTTTGGGGGGGGGGTGGATTTGTTCGCACCCTCTGAAACCCTCTGTTCTTCAGTTTTGACAGAGAGACCAGATGAAGGACAATGTATTATTCATACAGTAAAACCTGTATATCCGAACACCTCTCTCACATGAAAACCTCTTGATGTGAACACTTTTCAGTCCCAATTTTGTTATCTCCTTTGATTCACATATTAAGAGTCCTAGAAATGTGAACACCTGCTTATCTGAACACTTTTGGCAAGTCCCTATAGCATTTAGATTAGACACTACAGTAATCAATCTTTCAGGGCTTTCAGGGTTTTCTCATCCTTCTAAGCAGGTGTCCAGAATCCGTACCTTCTTCTTCCCCCTGCTATAACCAATTTGGAAGCGCCCGATTAAACTGAATCATGTGATCTAACTATGCGCAATGACTTATAGATTTCTGTCGCACTGTTGCGACAGCCAATCAGATTGCGGTTCTTAATCGGGGAAATGCTAACTGCTTGTCGCATTGGGTAAAACGGAAGAATATATTCTGGATTTTAAAGCCCTGTGATCGGAGGATGGGTTTTCTCCATTATGAATGTACTTGGACTATATAACTATACAACACAGTATAACAATTCCCACAGTAAGGATAAAAGTACCTATGTTTAGCAATCAAAACCTTACAAATAATTGAAAGGGTTTGGAATTTTGGACTTCCTTATTAACTGTTTCTCAGAAACGACTTGAATTTATTAGGTTTGAGAATTGATATGTCACGTTTCAATTCCTTATCGCATTATTTTCTTATCACATTATTTAGTTGAAGTAGCATTTTTGGAATTTAAATACCAGCGTCATGACTTTTTAAAGGGACACTATAATTAAAGATCTCTAATTAATACCTACAATATGTCACTTTTGTTTGATATACATTATCAGGGCCCTGTTGATAATTATGTTGTCTAGAAATCTGTATAATAAATGGTGATTTTTATTTAGTTATAATAGGAAAGTTTAATTAGAGTTCTATAAAAGTTTCAGTGAAAGGTTGTGTTTGAAGTGTAAGGATATTCTTGGATATTTCAATACATTCTTGGATACATTGATGTATTTTTGGATATTCAGTCACACATTGGATTGTTTTTGAGTAAATCAAGACAACAATGAATACAAACACTCTAGCTGTAGATAAGTTCTAAATATGAGCATTTTTGCCATCAATTAATTTACTAACTGCCATTTGACAATACAGATGCCATTTTTATCCATCTTTAAAAAGTTTGATTTGAAAGAAAATAGTGCTACAACAAACAAAAGAAGACCAGAGTGTATTTTATACCAATGGATTGTAATTTTACCAATGAATTATAATGTTATCAATAGATTATAATATTGAATGACCATCAGGCTAAAGTCACCCCAGGATATTAAAATATTCATTTGCTCCTCATCCTTCGTAGAATTCAAATTTGAGCTTCGTTGTCACCACAGTTTTAACAGACATCTCACTCCACAGTTAAAACCATGTTCATCGATGGAAAGCTGACGTATAGAGTAAGTTCATTAAACACTTGAATCCCAGGTTCTAAAATTGGTTTGAAACCAGCAAATTTTTCATTTTTGCCAGCTTTTGATATTTTACTTCATACATATACAACAAGTGATGCTCAATTTAGTGAAATTAGTTGGCAGAGATCATTCTACACATTTTATAAGTTATTTTTTGAGTAAATCAGATTATAATTGTTCAAGTTATAGCAATCTTATTAAAAAAAATTTGTGATTGATTATTTCGTCACTCTAGGTTTCAAGGTCATTTCTTCGTTGACAAGAAATCTTGTCTCTCTTGTTTTTCTCTATGGCTGATGGTCAGTGCTATCTGTTTTGTATTACAAATAGAATGTGTCCAATAGTTAAGGGATGAAATACTATCAGCTGAGAGATCATGTCAAGAAGAGATGTTTACATACATGTTTCAAAGTACACTGTACATAGTAAAATATTTGTTTTACATGTTATAATCTTGTAAATACCCCAAACCAGTATAGTTAAAATTATCAAAAATAGATATTTTAACTTGATTTCAGTTTAAAAGATAAACTAGTATTGGCCAATATTTATTATTTTTTTAATACTATGAGTTAAAGGTGATTTGGACAATGACACATTTGATAAGGTCCCTCCCAAAATATTGATTTGTAAAATGAATCATTTTCATTTCATTAAATTAAAACTAGACTAGCTACAAGCTTTTGTGACCCCCCCCCCCCAAGCTACAACTGCTGCGTTGTGTTGGAGACGTAGATAGGTCCACAATCTTTAAGCAAGACTAATTAAAACTACATGTCATGTTTTATTTGTTTTTAAGATGTCTTCATGGGTTTCACTAGAATTTCTCACAAAAGAATAAATAAATGGAAATCATAAATTTTACAAGGAAAAGTTGAAAAGTCCCTAAAAACAACAGGCGATTTTGTGAAAACAACCGGTGAAAATCGCCTATTGCCTGCTGATAATGAAACCCTTGTGTTTTCGTTAACGCCTGAACAGTGAATGCACCTCTTTGAATAAGCGCCTCCCATTCAGTGAAAAGTTTGATATATGAAAAACTATTTCTAATCACTTTGGAGCATTTAGCAAGTTCTAGTCAATAGAAATTTATTGAACTTGGTTCAAAAATTAATCATAGGTTCTTTGATAAAGAGAGCAGAGTGTGAGCAGTTTTAGCCAAGATGAAAAAATTGTTGAATTGAATAACCTCATTTTTCAGTTCATTTAGATCTTTGAAATCAAATGAATACCTAATTGTATGGATATTTTGATACTAAATGCACTTTTTAATTGACTTGGTTAAGTGGACTTAATTGGAGACATGATAAATGATATGAGGAAAAAACAACATATTTGTAAATGGCAATTCTAAATATTCTTATCTTTGAAACTCACTACTGTCAAAATATTTTTTAACCTGTACTCATTTGCATAAATTAATTGCAATAAAATATGCTTATGATAAAAGCGCTATCAAAATGGGCTTGACTAAAAGTGAAATTATGATAAATATATAAGGAAATATAATTCTGAAAACATGATATGATGTAACATCAGTGAATAAACAGTTAATATTTGATAAATATTAAGAAGGAAAGTTATGATAACATAGCAAAGATAAGACATTAATTTTGTGATTTACGACGAATTACATACTTTCAAATATAAATTAAAGCGCCTAATCTATTAGCCAATGAACCAAAGTCTAATTAAAGTTTAAAGGAGTAAAGGTGCAAGACGTCGTAAACAATCTTTGAAACCAAAACTTATGAAATACATGTACTTCTTAAATTTATTTCAATGATATGGTGCGAACCTTATTTGAAATAAAATATGTAACAGAACATTTGTTTCGAATTTTTCGAATTTTGATAAGGACAATTTGAATTTGATTATAAATGATATCACAAGGAGGAAATGCAATAGATTCATATTTAATGATATTAACCGAATAGAACAAAGTTGTAGCAATTAACATTAAAAAAATCGAAAAATAGCTTGTGATAAACTGCATGAAATGGATTATTCTATTTAATAAATAAATAGTTGAATATATTAGCTGAATAACTGGATTAATTGAATTGAATTCAGGGATAAGTTGAACAAATGGATTAATTGAAAAAGTCATTGAATAAATCATGGGCTTTGAAAGCCTGTAAATAAATGTATAATTCCAGTTGAATAACATAAACAGATACAAAATGCTTGATTAAATGGATTAGCCAAATAAAAAGATTATTAATCATTAAATAAAAAGATTATTAATTCTGAAAAAAGAAGTAATAACAATAGAGAGAATGGATTACTCAGACTAAAGATGAGTAGATACAGCAGATATGAGATAGAGGATAGATTAGGGCCCACTGATGGCATGAGATGGGTGAGTTACGCCTCAGATACATTTGCTGTGCGGCTGCTATAATCGATGTGAAAATCTACATCATACTGCTTATGCTTATCCCTATATTTAATGCTGCATATATATCTCAATTTTGGAAAGCCACGGCCACTGGGTAGTTGCCGTATATCAAATGTGACCGAGGCACTAGACAGGAAAATTTAAGCATTACGTCAGACCTCATATCTTTGTCTTGTACAAATCAGGACATTTTGACGAAATCTTTATTCAGATCACATCTCTTTGAAGATTTTTTGAAAATTTTAATCATTTTGACTTGAGTTTTGAATTCCTGAAATAATACTTTGAACCCAATTATGAATTTTAATTCTAGAGCCATCTACGTACATGTGCTTGGAGTTGAAATTTTACATCTGTACTTTACAAGCTAAAAATAAATAGATCGCTCACATCTGTCCCCATTTGGTTTGTATAATGTTACATAACAGGTAACATATGGTGATGAGCCCTTTCATGTTGTTCGTATCAATAATTATCAAACTAAAATAAGATATATTACGACTCCCCTTGTTAAACCTGATGAAATACATGTCTAACAAAAACACAGGTTATAGACCACACAGACCATCCCTTTCAACTTAAACCAAACTGCTTCCACAAAAATTGAAACAGTAAAACCTGTATAATCCGAACACCACAGTAGGACCAGGCAAATTCAAATTGGTTGAATTGACATTTCTAGTATTTTTAACATGACAGATTAAATAAAAAAGGCACAGGAAAAACTTTTCACATTGAGAATTGAGCGAATTACAAATTGTAGAGCCCTTGTAGGGATGTGTTTGGATATATAGGATTTACTCATACATTCACATAATGGACTAAGGTGTAACTTATTTTCTGATATCAAAATAAGTTTTAGCCATGTAGACTACACATATATCTTTTTTTATCTCATTGTGTAAATAAGTTTTAACCTCTATCTGTCATTCCCTTAATCTGTAATGTCGTAAAAACAAATTATATGAAATAAAAATGTAAGTAAGTGAAAAGATAAGAATTGTAGCAGGTAAAGGTACCTGATGTATGGTACATACTAAAGTGGTAAATGTAAACAACAACCACTTAAAACAGCTTTGAATGAATTTTTGAAATTCTACAAGACAGGGTTTGCAAACAAAGGTTGAAATCAGGATTGTCAGAATTTTATTGCCCAATAAGGAACCAGTTTTCAAAATTGTCAATCTGTCACATTTGTTAGTTTTTAAAAACCCCAAAGTCCCATTTAGTCACATTTTTAAAGGTCATGTCACCTTATCACATACCCCTTGGGAAGCCCCCTATTGCCAAGAGCAAATAATGTTTGCCAGTTGTAGTCGGGCAGTATGAGTTTTAAACCCTGACGCTGCAACTTTTAATGTTACAATAAACTTGCCACATTATACATCTGATTACACCCCCCTCCATAACTGAAAGCTGGCCACACCCCTGATCCAGAAAGAATTTTAATGGCCAGGAGATTGCCAGCTGTTTTAGCTTGTCCGGGATTTCACTAGAATTTCTCACAACAGGCAAAATTTATGGAAATCACAAAATTTAACATGGAAAAGTTGAAATGTCCCTAAAAAAACAGGCGATTTTGTGAAAACAACCGATGAAAATCACCTTTTGCCTGCTGATAATGAAATCCCTGCACATAGTATGAGTTTGTAGGAAATAGATAATTGCGAGAACAGAGCTTGATGCAGGATGTAAGCTTGTTGATACTTTTTGCCTGGATATGCCAGGAGTTTTTTGTTCCTAAATCAATTGTTGTTACCATGGTGATCATGTCAGGAAACTTTATAAACTTTCTAGTAATAACAATAATGACCAAAATAATATTTGTGCATTTTTTTATTTAAATTTTATTGTTACATTTATTACATTAATCGTTTATTGCATACAATGATCAAAATATATGTTTAATATACAACTAATTTACAAAACTATATGCATTTTTGTGAATTTCAATGTTTAATCTGCAAGTTTTTTTCATTTTGGTTGGAATATTTTAAAATGAATTAATTTTAATATTATGTTTTTTTACCGTTTACAGCAGATAGATCCCGAGGAGATCTTCTCGAAGTTAGAAAAGATTGGCAAAGGGTCATTTGGAGAGGTATACAAAGGAATAGACAAACGCAACCAACAAGTTGTAGCTATAAAGGTATGTATGGAACAAACTATTTTATATGATTGAAAAACTTTATTGATTTTGACAAATAATGATTGCTTAATCATGAAATTAAATGCTGTAAAACATATTCACATTAGTGCATCTGCAATTTACACATTCAGAAGACAGTACAAATATTCCAAGTTGGCCCTTTTCGACTTAACAAATATCTTTTTACCTAATAAGAGGTGCTGATCATACAGATGATCCAGATCTTTAACTTGAAGTCATTTTCTTAATTCCATCTAAATACATTTAAATAAATAATACACAGACTGCCAAAGTTAAAACATTGGTGGCAGTTAGTCAATGGTTCTCTGGACATTAGAACGATTCAATTACAGCGGCTTCATTTGACATTTATACTTGATTTAATGTTTAATTTCAGATCATTGATCTTGAAGAGGCAGAAGATGAAATTGAAGACATTCAACAAGAGATCATGGTTCTGTCACAATGTGACAGTCCATATGTCACCAAATACTTCGGCTCATATCTCAAGGTAACCATTTCAAATATTATTGATCTTGAATTATTATTATGTAATATAATGGTTGACATAAGCAGGGGGACATCTTTGATACAATAAAAGTGTAAAGAAATTATTTTTTGCTTATGGTTTCAATGTACCAATATGTGGATCATATTATGAATGCTAACTACATGTATGTTGTTTATATTTCAGGGTACCAAACTGTGCATCATTATGTATGCCAGCTCTGTTGTTATTAATATTCCAGGGTACCAAAGTATGGAACATTATTAATGCTAACTCTGTTTATATTCCAGGGTACCAGACTGGACCATTATGGATGCTCTATTATTTATATTCCAGTGTACCAAACTATGGAAAATTAAGGATGCTAACTCTGTTGTTTATATTTCAGGGTACCAAACTGTGGATCATTATGGATGCCAACTCTGTTGTTTATATTCCATGGTTCCAAACTGTGGATCATTATGGATGCTTACTCTGTAGTTTATATGCAGGGTACCAAACTGTGGAACCTTAAGGATGCTAACTCAGTTGCTTATATTACAGGTTTACCAAACTGTGGAACATTATGGATGCTAAATCTGTTGTTTATATTTCAGGGTACCAAACTGTGGATCAGTATGGATGCTAACTCTGTTGTTTATATTTCAGGGTACCAAACTGTGGATCATTATGGAGTATCTGGGAGGTGGCTCAGCGCTTGATCTTCTGAAAGCTGGGCTGTTTGAAGAAACCTATATAGGAATCATACTTAGGGAAATACTCAAAGGTTTAGATTACTTGCATTCAGAGAGAAAACTACACAGGGATATCAAAGGTTAGGAGCTATTTCTAATTAGTTAAATTCCTTAAATCAAAAACCTGATGACAAATCTTTCTTTTATTTCTAAACCAGGAGATGTTCTCGAGGATCACTCCCTTTAAAAACACAAATCTGAAACACAATATTGTAATTCATTCCAGCTGCCAATGTGCTATTATCCGAGAATGGAGATGTAAAGCTCGCTGATTTTGGGGTTGCTGGGCAACTGACCAACACAACGAGCAAACGTAACACTTTTGTTGGAACTCCATTTTGGATGGCACCAGAGGTATTTAAATGTTCTTAATTCTCTTTTATTTATGTTATTAGACTTTGTCTCATATAGAAAGTATCTTATTGAAATCAGGGAGAAGGAAAAACATAGTTATACTGTTATACATTTAAAAAAAATTGTTTAAAACTTATCGATGCATTCTACCTAAAACATCTAAAAAGAGAGAAATTACTCCTTTATTTCTTACATATTTGTAGTTTGAAAATTGTATTTGTACATATGGATTTGCATAATCTGAATACCCAGGAACTTTCATATAAGATGTGTGTACAATTTTTGAATTTCAGGTCATAAAACAGTCTGCATATGACTCCAAAGCAGATATCTGGAGTCTGGGAATAACAGCCATTGAATTAGCTAAGGGAGAACCTCCCAATAGTGAACTTCACCCAATGAGGGTCCTCTTCTTAATACCTAAGAACAATGCACCACAACTGCAGGGAAATTATTCCAAAGTTTTCAAGGAGTTCGTAGAATTATGTCTCAATAAAGACCCAGAAAATGTAAGTGTATAGAGAAGTCAAGTAAATGTTATAGTTAGAGTACTTTTAATATTTTACGCTCTAAAGTTCATTATGTGCGGAAATATAGGTTAATGAAAACACAGAATGAAATTCTGTGCTAATGGCTGATGTGAAAAGGCCAGTCCACCCTTGTTGGGATCAAACCCATGTGCAGAAGCAAATGAGTTGTATTGAATTGCGAAAAGGATGTTTGCTAGACAATAACTCTTCGGGGGCTTCTATTAAGAATGTATAGAACATATACCTGTTTACACATGTTTATTTATATTGATAAAGATTTATATATTTTCCAATTAATTAATATTTCAGAGGCCACAAGCGAGAGATTTGTTGCGGCATCCATTTATAAAGAAAGCCAAGAAGACAGTGTATCTACAGGAGTTGATTGAAAATTACAGGAAGTGGAAACTAAAGGGCGGCCATCGTGATGATAGCAGTAGTGACAGTGACCTGTAATTAAGTCTTTATTAATAGGATTTGGGAAATTTTAGAATTTTCAAATTAGTTTTATAATTTCTTGTTTTCATACAAACTCAAGTAACCATTAATTTCGAAATAGTCTAAAACATTTACTTTCAATGAAGGAGAATTTTCATATAACAATGTAGATATTGAGGAATTTGAGATTTTCATTAAGAAATTAATGTTGCTCACGTTAATTCAAACTTAAAGAAATCCCAGGTTAGACATTGTCTGCTCATGCTTATTTCACTAAATTTCTCTTTAAAATTTGAATCAAGTTTCTGATTTCCATGCATTTCTATACAATTCAGAGTGTCATCTGCAAGCCTATGTATTTTATTCCTTGCTAATTTCTCTCATTTCATCTCTTTTTTTGATTTGAAAAACCTGACCCTCATAATATCTTCTCCACTTTCAGTGAGGACGCGGACAACCAAGGTGGAAGCACTGAAGATTGGAACTTTACAGTTAGACACAAAGATGGAATAAACCTGCAATCATCAGAATATGACGCTCATAATCCTGAGGTAAAAACCCCTTTTATTATACAGGGTGTCCATAAATAATCCGTAAGGTGTAAAGAGACTATGGAATGGTTTGGACACCATGCACTATTTTATCAGATTCACTTTTAATACCCTGTCGTCTTTTCTCAATCTGTTACTAGTGTATTATACTTCTTTTCTCAATCAGAGATAACTCACAGTTTGGATCTAGACACTAATTCATGCAGTAAGGTAGAAGGTGAAACACAAAAAATAACTTACTAGTAAACTTTGTAATGGTTATCGTGTCACAGTCTCTAACACTGATTCTAAAATATACATGTAAATCAAAATTAATTTGTATGGAATTTGTTGTCTCCAACTTTCGTTATATGGCATTCATAATCGGCATATTTAAGAAATGGTTACACTTCTGAAAGTGTAACCAGGAAGTGACATTTTGTCATGTTATTGTATTTTTATTTTATGGTCAGAGCTAGAGACTGATTCACTACCACTATTTTTCTTCAGAAAAAATTTAATTTGTATTTGGTAAATTCACTGGGTAACTGTGATCCATAGAAAAACAAACTAAAACATACTTTTTTTGTTAACTTTCTTACAAAAAACTTGTTCTTAGCAGATTCAACAAGGGAACTCACAGCACATTAACAATACAAGGACGCCATCTATCAATGGCACACAACAACAGCAACAGCAACCAACTTCTGTAAGTTCATTCTGCTGAAACTGGTTGTCTAATCATGCTTATTTCACTCCATTTCTCTCTAAAATTTGAATGAAGTGTCTGATATTCTTGAATTTCTATACAATTTAGGGTGTTCTTTACATGCCTGTTTACTTTATTTCTCTCTTTTTCCACTCTCCTTTACTCTATTTTGCATTTTAAAACATGACCATATTTTATGATTTACTTGTTGCTTAATGGTCACGTTTTCTAATGTAAAATAGAGCAAATAAGAAGAATAAGCATGAAATGAAGTAAACAAGCATGTGATCAACATTTATACCATATAGAAATGCAAGAAAATCAGACATATACCATTTAAATTTCAGAGTGTAGGAGTGCGAGAGTTTTAGAATTTTGTGTGGAATATAATGGTGGCTGATATCATTCATCATTTTTTCAAAGAATTTTCAACTTAATACTATTTCCTCTTTTCACTGGTACATCGGGCTTTGTTGTGACTTTTATATTTCTACCTTTAGTACGATTAGTAGATTTCAGGGTTTGCTTCTTAATGAAGAACGTACAGATTTTCCAAAGAACTAAGTCAATTTGTTTAAAATAAGTCCCCTCCCATATTCTGGTTAAAGGAATTAATAAATAAAGTTGAATTTAGATCTTACAGATGTGTACCCCATCATTTAGTTGAATTTAGACCTTTCAGATGTGTACCCCATCATTTAGTTGAATTTAGACCTTACAGATGTGTTCCCCATCATTTAGTTGAATTTAGACCTTAAAGATGTGTACCCCATCATTTAGTTGAATTTAGACCTTAAAGATGTGTACCTCGTCCTTTAGAACTTAGTGCTTTGGTAAATATTGTAATTCCTTAGTCTTATGCACAATTCCACTACCTGAAGTGGCGTTTTATTTACCTTTAATGAGCAGAGGTGGTTCGGGTGTCTTTTGTAACCATTATGATATTTCCAATGGTCATACGCTTTCCCAGGGTTCAACATTTCTTAGGATTCTACATTTTCCAGGGCTCTACATTTCTCAGTGTTCTACATTTTCCCAGATTCTACATTTCCCAGGGTTCTACATTTCCAAGGGTTCTACATTTTCCAAGGTTCTACATTTCTCAGGGTTTTACATTTCCCATGGTTCCACTTTCTACATTTCCCATGGTTCCACTTTCTACATTTCCCAGGGTTCTACATTTCCCATGGTTCCACTTTCTACATTTCTCAGGGTTTTACATTTCCAAGGGTTCTACATTTCTCAGGGTTTTACATTTCCCATGGTTCCACTTTCTACATTTCCCAGGGTTTTACATTTCCCATGGTTCCACTTTCTACATTTCCAAGTGTTCTACATTTTCCAGGGCTATACATTTCCCAGAGTTCAAAACTGTCCTAGGGTTCTACTCAAAGGTTAAAGCATTATTGCCACAGTTTACCGGACTGGCAATTAGTCAATTATCGGATTCACCATGCATCACATTGACAACCCCCTTGACTTCCCAGATTGACCTCACTTGATCCACCTCTGCTCATTGGCCAATTGGATCTGTGCTAAAGACTACATTTTTATCTTATGGATGTTGTGTGTTATTTTTCAGCCTCGTCGTCTTCCTAGGGCAGATGCTCCTGTGGTAAGCTTCCTCTCCTTCGCACAATCCGTCTGCTTTAATTGCACCAAGTTCATGCTTTTTCACGCTTTTTCACATTTTTCTCTCTAAAAAAAACTTGAATGACGTTTATTTTATTTAGGCATTTTTATACAATATAAACTTTTGATTTCATGTATGTTTGTTTTGTTTTGGCATTTTTATACAATATAAACTTTTGACTTCATGTATGTTTATTTTATTTTGGCATTTTTATGCAATTTAAACTTTTGAGTTCATGTATGTTTGTTTTATTCCTTGATAACTTCAGTTTTTACAATTCTATTTTATGTTTCAAAATGTGACAGTTAATAATAATATTGTTTATTCTTTCTTAACCTCATAAATAACCAGAGCATTTTCAGATTTTGTTTCTCGTTTTACTTTCATAATATTCAATAATTTATGTTCATTCTTGGGATAATGCTCGAACATAGACAAATTACATTTTGTTACAAACATTTTGTAAATTGTAAAATATTGTCAAAGTTAGCACCGTTTTAGTGACAAATTCTGTGACAGATATATCTGTTGCCCTGGGCATTGAAGAGGTTAAGGCATTTAAGGCACTGATTGAGCTGAACTTATTTAGAAATACACTTTGTGACTATTTATTCCTTTTCCTTTTATCACATTTTTCCATTTAGTTTATAATGCTTTTTTGCTTTCCTATACCCTCTAAATATATTGTAAGAAGTTCTTAATAAATACGATATTGGATAATATTTTGTATTTTGCATGCATTATTGTTTTTTTCAGGGTTGTCATTTGTATTGTATTATATGGTATATAAATAAATCCTTAAACCCCTACCAGTAGTAGTTCTGGTGACTAATTTCATATTTGCTTACAGGACGAGAGAATAATAGGTGGCGCTATAGTGCAACCAGAACAAGAACACATCGAACCTGTGAGTACTTTCAAAAAAGATTTATTACAATATCAAAATATATTGCATCTAAATGTCTTTAAACTTCAGTTTACAACAAGCGACCTTGTTTGTCATTTCAAAGAGATGTTTTCATATTACGACCTTATCATAAAACACGTTTTTTCCATGATAGGTGACCGTGAAAGACAAGAAACCCTCAAACCCAATTTTAACTCCTGTCTTATTATTTGTCAAATGAAAAAAATATGATAACATGGGGGCCATTAACAGCAACTTCATAAATGTAGAATTCGTAAAGTCCGTTGTTCTCTAACTGTGACGTCAATATATCCATGGTTACAACAATTGATTTACACATTCGTAACTTTACGAAGTTTCTGTTAATGACCCCCTAAATAATTTCAATCTAAACTCTAAATCCAACAAATGAGTACACTTAGACCTGTAATTATGAACACCTCTAATTCTGAACACCTCTAATCGTGAACACTATTGGTGTTCAAATTAGACAGGTTTTATTGTATGTATGGCAACTAAGTATGGCATGTTCGATAAGAAAATTGTCCACTGCATAGTCTGTGTGTGATTTGCAAATGTATTATTGGCTAAGGATTGGTTATAAAAGGAAAGGCAGATTGATATTGCATTATAAGTTATATTTAAAAAATAGTGTGTTTTGACAAGAAACAGAAAAATGGTGAATAGTACATGTATTTTTTTTGTTTGGTAAGAATGGGGATTGTTTAGAAGATCTGTATAAGTTATAATACTAAGATGCATGGTAATAGATGCACCATGAGATTCATGATTAAGCAGCATGATTGTTTGATTGAAATATGGTGATGTTTGATTGAATAACATATTGTTTGTATGAACAATGTGGTTGTTTGTATGAAAAATGTGGTGGGTTAAATAAGGTTGTTAGACATATTATTTTGTAAATTTGGGAAAATTATCAATTTATAGTGAATAAAATTATGAGTAAATTTGAGGTTTAAAGCACTATATGTTTTTCATATTAAGTAGAACTCCAAACATGGCGATTGTCTGTTTTTATCCTAAAACTGAGAACTTTTTAAAAGTATAGAAATGATAAATGGATACGTAATAGTTTCAGAAAAACAAGGAAATGTTTTAATGAGGGTGTTTTTATTAGTTATTTTTGTTAAACAGAACTTCATTTGTTAAGGCGTGGGTCATGTCTTGCATAGTGCACCTACGGATTGATATATGAGTAGAAAATGATATATAAGTTAGCAATAATGGTTATGGTTAAAAGCTGGGTAGCATGACAATTGATCGAAATCAAATTCATTTTTTCCAAATTTTCTCTTCCAGAGATATCTTAGCAAAAGTCCATCTCAAATGTCTAGCAGGTCCAGTAGTCTAATATCAGACCTACAGGGGAACCAGAAATATGTAAGCCTAAATATCCGACTGCCTAAATATGGCCGTCTGCTTATACGTCTGCTTATGCTTTATCCAAGTATTTCTCTGTAAAATTTGAATGAAGTCTCCACATTTTATGTATTTCTGTACACTTTTGAGTATTGTGTTTTGGCCTGTTAATTTTATAACTTGATCTTTCTTGTCTGTCATTCCTTTTTTTACAATAAAATATGACAACAAATTCATAAGAGTTGTCTTGAGAGGAGAGCTCCATCTAGTGTAAGACTAAAAAGTGTCATGTAGGATTTAAATGAAATATGTTAGGAAAGTTAAATGGAGTAAGATTTTAATCTTGTATGTTTCTATAGCAGCAACAGTCAAGCGTACAGTATAAAACTGTTAAACCACAGCCAGATTCCAAAATGGTACAGTATAGCATACAAAATGTCAACTTGACCTGCATGCTACTGCAGCCACTAATACCATAATGGTACATATTGTTGGAATTTACATCCGATCTAAGCTTGTATTCGTGAATGCAACTAACGCCTGTCAGCCACTGGACCAACTTACTATTTTAATTCCAACTCATTAATTATGAATGGAATAGTGGCAGGCACTTTTCATGTTTTAATGAGTTGCCCCTAAAAAAGTAGGTTAATCTGGTAGCTGACAGATGTTAGTTGCATTCGCAGTTACACGATGAGCCTGCATGTTAAACTGCAGCCAGATAAACAAAATGGTATTGTATGATGTTAGGTGTCACATGACCTGCATGTTGACTGCAGCCAATGACCATTTTGGTATAATTTCTCCATGTACCATATGCAGTGTATTAACTGACTAAAGCCACGTGATAATCAAACATAGTGTTCCTTTTATAAAATGTCAAACAATAGGCATGTATATTGAAAATTAATTAAAAAGATACTCATAACAATGCATGTTACCATTTTGTCCAAAAAGAGGTACAGAAACCTTACATGCACACTGACCTGTTAATGGTACCCATTCCCCTTGGATTTGGATTAAAAGATTAATGATAGTAAAGTGATGAGCAAGTTTCTTTTGTTAATAAGACTTAGTGTTTTGTCATACTAGAGTTTTCTCATAGCATGTTTTCCCTTCACTTTGCAGTTTCTTGGCCAGTGGGCATATATCAGTCTTTAAATTCCATAATAAATGTTGTAAGAAGTGGCTTTTGATTTAATATTAATAAAGCATAAATAAACCAATGAGAGCAGATAGCTTGAAAGTATGAAAGGATATAAGCATTATACACAAATAAAATTTGAAAGGTCACAGATTCTAGGTATCAATTGCATTGTGGGAACTAGCAAGTAATGCATTGTGGGTACACCTGTCTTTGTGTGTTTCAGAAGAAAGTACCACCACCAGTTGCTGATAAACCACAGAGGCCTCCTTCCCACATTGAACCAGAGCCTCAAGTTTCACAATGTCTTTCACAAGTCGTTTCTCCAGTCATTGCTCAGGTAAGACTGTTGCATTATGGGATAACTCCTTTGCTGTGACATGAAAAATATGAAACGCTCTATTCGAGGTATTTCATGAACTGTTATATAGTGTACAGGGCTTGCATTAACGGCGTCCCGTACATGTTAAGGACTAATAATTTGGAGGACGCAAAAATTGAAAATATTTCCGTTTTTTGGACACAAATTTTTTTTAGGTCAATACTACAATGTGTTTACAACGATAACAAAAACAAATAATTATGATCTCTCACCTTTATTTGAATCGTAAATAAGGCTCAACATGTTGAATATTTACAAATAATCATGATTCTCTCGAATTTTTTCGACTTTGTTTATTTTTAGATTTGAAATCATGACACGCCACAGTTTTTCCTATTCAGAAACAAATATGAGGTTATTCATGAGATAAAATGTATTCATTGTCAAATGAACAAACATGCATTTATTCAGTCCGTACTTAATGTTTACTTCCGTTTTAAATTCGCGACAAGAAATCAAAAACTGAAAATATGACAAGTACGGTTAGAACATACATTCCCGAAATAGGGGACACACTTTTTTTCAAAGGACACACTTTTTTAAAAAATTGCGTCCTTGGGACTCACAAATTTTCTAACCTAATGCAAGCGCTGGTGTAATAATATCTTAAGAACAAAAATGTCTATAAAAGCAGTGCGTCTGCTAAAAAATATGATGTATTATGGGAAATCATCATTTTGCTGGTTTTTAGACAGAAGCCCGAGGTATTTATTTCACAGACATTGACCATTGATAAGTCTAAAATGTGATTGACCTACCGAAGGAACAAGTCTGTTGTTTCAAAAGCTGTCAACCAAATCTATTGCATTATTGGAAATATTAAGATTGTTTTCTAATTCTAGCTGCGACAGAAACACAGGGGATCTGTGTCAGGAACCGGGGCAATTGACGAGTTGGAAAATGCGTTTGAACTGGTAGAGACGCAATGTCCTGGTCTAACAGAGGATCTATTGGTGGAGATGTTACATCGCGTCGCTTCCCAGACACTTCCTACTAGCAAAGTACAGCGTGGCATAGATAATTTAACAAGGTGAGTTGGGAGTAGCATGTGACAGGTGGCAATTATATCTTGAATGGCCAAAAGTAACAATACTGTACCCCAACTAATGTTCGATGCTATTATATTTTGTCTTTTTGCGATTTTGAATCAATTTTAATTCTGGGTTAGGGTCTTTTATATTTTGCAAACTTTCCAAAACTCACGAAAAGTGTGAAATATAGTAGTATTTGAAAATAACTGGGAGTTCAGTATTGGACACTAACCAGACTTTATTAATTGCATGTACTGTAGGCTTGATTTGTTTCAAATGTCCGTCTGATAAGTCTGTTGCATTATGGGAAATATTAAGATTTGTTTAACAGGACTCTTCCTACTAGCCAAGTATGTCTTCATGTCTGACCCAATTCAAGATACTCATCGTCTGTGTTGTGGATGACCAATTTCTTCAATATTTATTGTTGTTTATATAGTCTTCGATATTTTGATTCTTTCCATAAATGGCCAGGCCATCTTGGTATCTTTCTTATAATTGGAAGTGCACCAAACGTAAAACAAATTCCTTGGGATTTTGGCAAGTATTTAATTTGGTGATCTTTTTAATTTGCCAAATTAAAACGCTTGCCCAATTAGAGACGGTTGATTATGTTGCATTGCATTTTGAAATACATGTATAAATAATCTAGTTGACTATGGTTTTCAGGTACAACAGCTAGTGATAATAGAGACAGAAGCACTATCAACATATTTGCAGTCCTTAAAGCAATATATGGCAGTCACCAACGGATCTAAGGATGATGTAAGACACTAACGTCTGCTGAAAATGTTGCATTATGGGAGTTTTTTTTTAATACAATACACTACAAATCGTGTCTGCTGGATCACTTAATAAATGGAATCGTTTATGAAAGAGAATTGCACTGGTGGATATCATCTGCTACAATGTTGCATTATGAGAGTTTTAAATGGACCATGGCATGGATGCATAAAGTTTTGCCATTAATTTGTGGCATTGATGCTTGATATCAGAATTCTGATAGTGGTACTAAACTATTCAGTTAGAGGGAGACACTATATGTGCCCCAACCTATATATGGGCATGCACATTTAATATGGCAGTACCATAATGCCCATTTATGGATATATTTTTAAGTTGGATAAACTGACATTTGACATACCCATATAAGACATGATGGGTATGAACCATGAATGTTATATGTCTCACATGTCCGTCTGCTGAAACTGTTGCATTATGGGATATTTCATTATACAGTGTGCACACAACAAAGCGTTAGGCAAATATGGCAGTACCTAGAGAGATATAGGATAGTGACTATTTTATTAGCATATCTGATCTTCTGGAATTGTCCCGTCTGTTAAATCTGTTGCATTATGGGATACCATTCTAACCTCGTAACACAAATGTCTCAACGTCAGTGAATATCAGCAATACTAACAGAGGAATATAATTTAAGGTTGAGCGAGCACTACTCGTGGAATATTGATTTAAATATGGAATTGTAAGAAATGAGGAATTAGGCAGAAAGTTCCCCCTAAAATGTATAGAAATGTCAAAAATTTGACAATTTAAGCAAGAAGCGTGCGGAAGATAATTTTTTAATGGAATATTATTATAAAAATATATTGCATTCTATTCACCTTGATCATCATCTCTGTATATTTATGTAAAGTTGACTGTATGTATAAAAATCAAGATTAAGGCCAATGTAAATATTTATCTGTTTCTATTCCATTTAAGCGGTGAAGTAGGGGTTAGTCATTTAGTTTTTTTTTGTTTGACAATGAATGGAATCAGTTTTTATTTAGATTGGCCTATGTAATTAAATGCTCTTATAACTAAATTAAGTACACACTAAGTCTATATATTATAATACATATTATTTCCAATAATTATTATTCATTTGTACATTTTAGAAAATTGTTTTTAGGACAGAAAAAAAATATTACCGTTTATATTATTATATTAATTGGAAGATAGAAATTTGGTAGAAAGCTTTTTTCAAGTAAATTCAAACAGGCTTTTGTTTCATTTAGTGGCATGTTGGATTCTTTCAAATATAGCAAGTGATCAGCAAAAAAACATTGTGTGGTTCATGGTTGTCATGGTTTCGATTGGGAAACAAGCTGAAAACAACTTTGTGCTAGTAGACTCAAATTAATATGAATATTGGGAGGCATTATAGAAAACTTCCTCTTTTTACTGTCTATTTATATCTAATAAAAGCTTTAAGTAATGTTTTTGTCAGGTGTATATGTTTAATCTTTAAATGTAAAAAGAAAGAAAAACAATGAACAATTACTTTACTTAAGTAGTTTCATAATTGTTAAGGGGAAAAAGCTTTGTTATTTTCAGAAAAAGGAAGTGACCAAGTCTAGTGAAGGTTAAAAGCAAATCAGGTTATTGAAGATCAGAATTGCGAGTCCAAAAATCTTGAAATTTTTGTATGAACCAAAACAAACTAAACATTTCATTTCTATAATTCTTGAAGGTTTCAATATTGTATTACATGAAAGCTGCCTTAAAACTGAGCAGAACTGAACTCTTCCAGGAAATCGATCAGGATTGGATGTATAACTAAATAAATTTAATTGATCTTCCTTCTGGCAAGTTTCATGACACAAAGAAAAGGTTTTCATTTTTTAGATATGGAGGTATAGGTATAGGAGGTATTTTTGAAAAACCTTTTCACTTTCTTTTAATAGCACCCTTTGGGGGTTATATCGCGATCATTTTTTAATTAAAATTTTTTTTAATTTTCATATTGCAGAATGCGATATGAACTGCGTGGTTTACAGGAAGTTAATTCAGACTCAACTTATGGTTTGCTATTGTCTAGTTTTATTTTAAGCATTTTAGTCAAATCAGAAACTCTTGATTTGAAATGCGTGCGTTTGTTCAAACATGTGCATGCAAGGATTAAAAAAATAGAATTGGAAGAAATGGTCTCAGAAATGATTTCAGCAAATAAAAAAATATTACCAATATTTTCCAATGGTGTCAATACTTTGATGAATTATTGAGGGCAAAATTATGACTCTCTGATTGTTTTCCTGTTGCTAAGAGACTTCGTTTCTTTACTATCATTATATTTTCACTATGTTTATAGAAAGTATTTCCATCAATTAAATTAAATTGAAAATGAAATAATATATTTTATTTGTAATTTCGTAATTTCAGAAAAATTCATTATCTTTCTTACGATTGGCTAAAAGAGAAAACAATTTGAATTCACTGCATGAGACATTTTCATTAATCAATTATTTTAATGAGAAACCATTGACGTCATCACAGTCATGTGAACAAAATTGAGCAATCATGAACCTTGCGTAAAATAAAGGTTCCGATCTCTATTAAGCTTGTTATTTCTTTGTAGAAAATAATAATCCCATCTCATTTGTTAAAACTATACTATTGTTATTACTATACTATAAACATTTGTTGTAAAGAATTTATCATAAACACTTTTTCATTCCATACATTCATTGTTTTCGCAACCCCACGAGATGCCATTTAAAAAATCTAAGAATCGCAAAAGTTAGTTCAGCATGCAACTAGGATAAGAAAATATACCAATATACCAATGAAATAAAGTGTACATTTAAAAGTCTATGTTTTGGTTAGGGCAGGCCTCGAAGAATTGTTAATGCAGATTGATATATTGATGTACACCAACAATGTAAAAATGCGTCAAATAAATGTTCTCCCCTCTTAACTTTAACATACAAAATATAGCATTAACTTTTTGTTTGTATGATATCGGAATTGTTCTTTTGCACCTTAAAAATAGGAGCAACTCTACAAGAAGTTTCAGATGACTAGCTAAACTAGATACACTTTTATGCATGAAACTTCAGTCTTGAAATCAAGGGGGAGAACATATTTATTTGACACCCTGTAGAAGTAAAAATCCATTATATTTTGTAAGAACACATAAACACATTTCAGTTAGATGATTTTTTCTAAATTTTTGAGCTGTACTCTATCATCAATACCAATGGTATTAATACTTTATACGAAACAAGGATGGAATCTATTTTCAATTTGAATGCATTGAAGGGGTTGTTTTGAAACTATGTGAGAGCTAATAGACTAGCAGGTAGAGACTTATGTATTTATGTATTTGGAAGCAAACCTGTCAATAAAACCAACAATCAGATCAGCAATATAAAATATAAACTCTTGTTTTGTTTCATTTGTTTATTTTACAAAATTTAATTAAATACAGATCTGTTATTATACAATTTATACTTGGGTTTGCAGAATATTTCTGTGATTTTTTCAATATGATCGATATGAATTGACATCAATATCTGGATGAGTCAGAGCAGCAAATGGGTGAATAAAAATTGATATCTGAAAAGAATCATGACGTTCTATATATCCCATAGTTCACCTGTTTATACATCATGTAGAGAATTCTCAATCATACATACTCTTACATATCCCTTCTTCCATGTATTTGAAAAATGTCATATTTTGCATATACAGATTTGACCTCAGATATGGGATAAATCTTGAATAGGAATAAGCTTGATTTTTGGAAGTGGAGCAATATTTCTATGTGCACATTTCATTCATAAATACATGTATGATACTTTTTTATCTGCTTATTCCAAATTAAAATCTTCACAACAAAACTGAGAAATCATGAATGACACAAATGTTTTTGACTTCACTTAGACCCACAAAGGAAGATATAATAATTTTTTAAAATGAAATCTGCTGTTCTAGGATGGCTATTTAATAACCATTCCTCTAGCTATCTAGCTTATACACTGTTATAGGCTATGTTATGAAACCCATGAGTTACTCCCTCCTGAAGGACAGCGGCACAGCTACTGTTTCCACTCCGTTGTGTGTCTAAGTGACTTAATAGGGTAAATGTTCACGTCTCCAAAATCCCCCTCGCTCAAAAACAGGCCTGATGTATCATGTGTGAAAATCCCCCTCTCTCAAAAACAGGCCTGACGTATCATGTGTGAAAATCCCCCTCCCCAAAAACAGGCCTGACCTATCATGTGTGAAAACCCCCCTCCCTCAAAAACAGGCCTGACGTATCATGTGTGAAAACCCCCCTCCCTCAAAAACAGGCCTGACTTATTATGTGTGAAAAGGGACTCAATCGAGTGAAGGACAGCAGAACTATATGTTTTATTTCTTGCCAGATGTCTTTTTATGTACAAGTGATTTGAACTGTGATAAAATCTTGTTTTCACGTTTCGATCTCTCAGCATAATTGAAGCTCGCCAGCGCCCTCTTTTCATCAGCACTGTAAATCTGATTCTCTTTACGCAGACGGACAGCTTCCATTCTCCGATGTCTGCAAATAATGAAATATAATTGGTAAAACATTGCTTTAAGTGGGTTTGCATATAAAATATTTAACAAATTGAATTTTTAATTTTCAAAAAGACTGTAAACAGATCTAAAAAGGCATTAACATGACAAATTGTCACCACCTTGTAAGTTGCAAATTGTTACAGACGCCACAAACTGTAACAGATTCAACAAATTGTAACAGACTCCACAAATGGTAACAGACTCCACAAATGGTAACAGGCTCCACAAATGGTAACAGACTCCACAAATGGTAACAGACTCCACAAATGGTAACAGACTCCACAAATGGTAACAGACACTTTACGCAAATTGTTATGCCATCGAGAAAAAGGTTAGAGAGTATAAACAATGTGTCAACCTTGTGGTGGTAACATAAAATACATTAAATCTCCTTTCATAAAACATTGAAAAATCTCAATCAAAATATGTGAAAATCTTCCAGAAAATAAATCAGAAGTGCCCCAAAAATTGAATAGGCCTGAAGTTGTGTAAAAATGCCTGAAACCATGAACTTCATTCAGATATTACATTGAAATGAGATGAGGTAATAGCATAATAAACTCTAGAAATTCATGCATAACATTACCTGCTTCCGCTCATGACGTAGCCTGTCTTTTCATATGCTTCAATCTCCTCTGGTTCCAACCCGATCTCTCCTCTACGTGGAATACGTTTCCCATCTGCGATATATGCAGCCATGGCAGCACCCTCTCCAGGCAGCAGGGCTTTACCATAGCTATGGAAAATGAATAATAGATTTAAATAGGATTAAGGTATCTTCATTCAATGCACCAAGTCTCTGGGCCCTCTACTCTTAATCTGTTCACACCAAGAGAGGGGAGGTAAAAGGAAGAAGGGCATAAACATGGACGAGGAAAATTGATAATAGATTTAAATAGGATTATAAGGTATCTTCATTCAATGCACCAAGTCTCTGGGCCCTCTACTCCTTTCACCTCAAGGGAGAGGAGGTTAAAGGGAACAGGGCTTACCAATAGCTGCAAAAAATTGATAATAGATTTAAATAGGATATGGTATCTTCATTCAATGCACCAAGTCTCTGCGCCCTCTACTCCTTTCACCTCAAGGGAGAGGAGGTAAAAGGGAACAGGGCTTAACAATAGCTGCAAAAAATTGATAATAGATTTAAATAGGATATGGTATCTTCATTCAATGCACCAAGTCTCTGCGCCCTCTACTCCTTATCTATTCACACCAAGAGAGCGGAGGTAAAAGGAAGTAGGGCATAAAAATAGATGAGGAAAATGGATAATAGATTTAAATAGGATTATAAGGTATCTTCATTCAATGTACAAAGTCTCTCTACCCTTTATCTATCCACCTCAAGGGAGAGGAAGTAAAGGGAAGTAGGGCATAAAAATAGCTGCGGAAAATAGATAGTGGATTGAAATAGGATTAAGATATCTTGCCTCTTTAGTGAGAGTCCCATGTCAGGGCACCTTGTACCCCTTTCACCTCCATGGAGAAATGTAGGGGAGTAGGGGTTTACAGGTTTACATGCTTTTTAACACTGCAGACAAAACTTATTCCTTAGAATGGGATGATCAATACAGAAAATGTAGGGCCTGAGCCAAACGTTATTGCAATGAAATTTGGTTGCACGTAACTCAGTTAAAATCAAACATAGCATTACATAGCACTAATTATTCAGGTTTGTAAACCATATCTGATTTGGAAGATATTCAGCAGGTCAATAAAGAAAATACTACCAAGCTAACATCTGAATTATTACTATACTAGTTTTCATATATGTATTTTCTGACCATTGTAAATTGACAAAGAACTTACTCAAGCTTAGACTGAATCTCTTCACTACCATCACCAAGCACTGGCCCGATAAAGTTGGTCTCCTCATCTTCGCTATCGCTAGTCTCGCTGTCACTTCTCACTGCCTTGGCAACTGGAAGGGAGCAATTGTTACAAGATTATGAACAATTGTTATGAGGAATATATCAGGGGGTCAGGTTTTAACATCTTATACATGATGGCATTTTATTAATCCTTAAATGGTTAGGCTATAGAGAAATACACCAAGGGTTAGGGGGAGGGGGCAAATCAATTCCCAGTATTTTGAGCTTACTTATAATTATATCGAGCCATTATTGATGAAGAAGTTCATTTTGTAAGAATATAAGCGTTTGCGTTTCAAGTCAAAACTACAGACAATTTGGGCATTTCGGTTATTTTGACCAGATCAAAAGACAAGCTACGAAAAATGTTATCAAAAAAATTCCTTATCTGCCCCCCCCCCTAACCGTGTAAGGGTTAAACTATTTTAAAATTGAAAGGAACCTAAACATGAAAATCTTAGAAAATAAGACGAGTTTTAAGAGTTGCACCTACCAGGTTTGAGTGTTTTCTCAACCCACATTGGTTCCTCTTCTCCATCGCTATGGATACGCTTCTTGTGTTTTTTCTTTTTCTTTTTGGATTTCTTCTTCTTTGATTTCTTTTCCTTCTTTCTTTTCTTCTTTTTCTTAGAATTATCTGAAAACAACAAATACATTTCTTTAATATCTCGTATATACACTACATTCTAATATGATACATGATGTCACAATAACCAGAACAATTAATTTACTGGTCTATATTGGAATATGTATGACCACTAAAATTCATAAATGCAAATATTTGTTTTTCTTTTCTGTTTATCATATAAGAATCGTAACAAAGACCTAAATTTTATGATTTATGTCAAATATATGACCTCAAATTTTATTCTAGCCATTGCCAAAGACCTCAATCGCTACGCAATTTCGGTCTTTTAACAATGAACAGAAAGAATTTTTCGATCATATATCACGCCACAAATCATAAAATCTCGGTCTTTATTCTTTAAGTATACTAATTATTTTTGTTTTTGAATTGTAATAATTAGAACTCAGACAGTACAATTGTAAATCAACTGTAATCAAAAAACTGTAATCAAAAATTGACTTCCTAGCCTCAGTCCTCATGAACACGTTATTCTTGTTAAATGTCCTCTTTTTAATTCCATTTCCTTCTTTACAAAGGTTCTATTTAGGTCCTTACCTTCTGAGCTGACTTCGCTCCCATCTTCTGATGCACTACTGGCTTCAGAGCTGAAATAATATGGGATAAATGAACCTCCTTTGTCAAAGTAACAAAATATATACATGTATAAGTCTGATTCGAAATTGTACGACGCAAGAGGAGGGAAAGCCCCAGAGCTTTACCGATGACTGACATATTACGTCTCTAATGCATACCACCTTCGTTTGCGCAAATTCTCACCAGTTAGTTTTCGAATATAACGCATCATTGTGATCTCTTAATCAATTTAAGCATATTTCTTACATCTTTCTTTATCTTGATGTGAAATAACAAGCTATGATATTGGTTAACACGCTAGTAATTAACATAATATAATATTATTCTAAGCGTTATTAGAAAATTTTGATTTTGGTTTTGACCAATCAGAGACATGGGTCATCTCAATACAAGTTTACATTATAAGCATATGTCATCTTTGAACTCTGGGGTTAATCCCCCTCTTGTACGAGGCATGTGATAGGACAAATAGTTATCCAATACTGACGCAGTTTTTTTTAGGGGAGACGCATTTTTTGAAAATCGTTACGTCCCAGGGACGCAATCTTGGACAAACCTACTGAAAACACTGAAAACCAATATTCAATCCCAACCATTAGAAATAACCTGTTATTCCATAAATCATTTATTTAACATGTAATAATAATTTTCTGGAAAAATGCTAAATATTAATTTGAAATAATTTGTTAGTCAAAGATGCAGATTTAGGGTAGCCTTATTATATATTTGCCACTTACTTTTCAAGCTCAGCCTGGGGGGACATTCCCCATACCTCAATAGCTCCCAGAACACCAATCTTTTCACGATCTTGACGTCTCCTACAATATACAACAATCATAAATATCACACTTTTACATTTTACAAATGCTGAAGTACATTAACCTTGTATTCATCAAATCAACACGATTGGAACTGATTTTTGAAAAACTACAACTTTTAAAAATATAAATACAGTACATTTAAACCTAATGTAAATATTTTCTAAAAAGCATGTTTTTCTCAAATTGAATTTGATATTAAACCTCTTACAAATGTAAGGCAAATGAAAGCTTACTTGTCAAAGAATTCTAGGAGCTCTTCTTCAGACCTGCCATTCATTTCTCTGTGATGCTTATATCCCGATCCTGTATGATGTGGTGCTGAGTTTGCCCCTCGGTCAAAATGTGATCCAGATCTAGAGGAGTTCCTATCAGCTTCATAATTTCCTCGTCCTTTAGAGTCTCTGCTAGTTTCATATTGAATATCATTGTTTCTAGATTCCCTTTTAAAGTCACTTTGTTTACTATGCTTATGGGTATCAGGAGACCTAGATCTTGAATGCCTGCGTTTTTGACGTTTTGGGGAATCTGATGGTGACTTGTATCGTTTACTTTGAGTTTTGGATCGAGATCTGGAACGTGATCTATGCATTGGTGATCTGGATCTATGTCTTTTACTATACTTTGGAGATCGTGAACGGGATCGAGATTTGTAACGTCTGTGCTTTTGTGGTGATCTTGATCTCCTATTATTATAGCGATCTGATGACCTTGACCTGTGTCGTCTATTTCGCTCTACAGATTGTGACCTTTGCCGCCTGTGCTTATTTGATTTTTGTGGTGAGGGGCTGCGACTCATTGAGGAATCATCTGATGAGTCATCAGACTCCGAATATGATCTTCGTCTTCCCATATCTAACTGAAAAAACAATGAAAATTTCAAATTAGCTTTTTAAATGTACAGCGGAGTATAATAAATAATTATACATGTAATATGAATTGTATTTTTCAAATAAATACATGTATGTAAAAATTATATGACCAGGACTGCCATTGCATGCAGATTGTATGTAATTACAAAAATGTTGAAACTGAAATAGCTGGAGTCGATTCAGACCTTTGATCATGCAACCACTGGTAAAAATGATCAGTAGAAAGATGGATAAGGTTGTTTTCAACAAAATAAGCCATGACAGAAGGCTAACCATTTTAAATTAGGTATTTCTAAATCCAGAGCCATTTCAGAAAGAAAGTAATAGAATGAATAGAATGATTGACAACCTGATCTGACAGGTAACTTATATTGGGTCCAGGAAACAAACTGTAAGATATGGCTGCAATGATGCAATGTTGAAGTGGAAAAGTCAGTTGGTTCCATAGCTTAGTGGTAGAGCACAAGGAGGATTGGCTCCCAGGATCGAAACTCGATATTTTCCAACAATGAAAACGTCGAAATGTCGTTATTTTCTGAAATTAAAACCGACTATAAATTCAAAATAAACAGTTCAAAAGATTCGAACCAATATCTCGATCATTTCTTGTGAGTTTTGGAATTTTTCGTTTGGAAATAAGACCAAAATTCCCGATTTAAATGTTGAAGTGAACAAAATGGCGGCTGTTTGAATTCGAATTTTGTATTACGACATACCCATATATGGGACAGAATATCGGTGGTGCACTCTGGGAGCCAATCCTCCTTGGGTAGAGCACTTGGCCGGAAAGTGAGGGGTCATGGGTTTGAATCAATCCCTACTAGAGTAGACTGACTTTTTCACATCATCCCTTTCCATTTTTTCATGGTATCGGGACTACTTCTCCCCTATGTGAGATCAGAGATATCATATTAGTATACTTTTCAACATACTTCTTAAGATTATCTTGCTATTTTAATCCCAATATTAATTTCTAAAAGGTTTCTGACTTCTTACTCCTTGTTTGTATCCAATTTTATGAATTTTTTCAAGAGTACCGCAAATAATGTGACAAAAATGTAAAATTAGACTCCTGAAAAAACACTTAAGACTCTGGAAAAGCTATTAAACTCTGGAGCAAGAGGGTTTTAATACATTAGACTCCGGAGTCTAAAAGCCTAGAGTGAGAACCCTGCATTTATTTGTAATGGTCTAAATACTGCTGAGCATACGCATTGGGAAAGTAGAAGCTAGAAATCTAGATTTATATTAAAATTAGAGCAAACAAACAAGGTGCTGAAGTTAAATCTACCCCATAATTCAAAATTACCCTTACTGGCATCAACGATTTCGATGTCCACAACAGTCGTGAGATCATTTGATCAATGTTGTTATATTATGACCTTCCACCAGTTGTATCCGTGTTCTGTACACCTAAATTACATACCTCAATACATTCTTGAAGTTCGAACACTAAATGATGCTTTTCAGTTGATCAAACCATGGGCTCTACCATGATCAAACCCGTTAGTGACAAACATTAAGGTCAGGGTGCATGATGGGAAATCAGAAATTTTTCAGAAATTTTTTTCACTGAATTTTCTCATTTTTTATACATTTTACAAAACAAACCTTCTCACAAGGCTTTTCTAGGCACATAATTGCACTCTTTGTGCAAAACTGGAAGATATAGACAATGAAGGGAAGGAGTGATTCTTGTTTGAAAAATAACATGTGACTCAATTGAGGAATGCAGAAAATTTCCCATCATGCACCCTGACCTTAACGCTATAGGCTAGGCTAACCATTAGCCCTAGGAGAAGCTATGATTTTTTTCAAATAGACTTTAGTTATTTTATTGGCTAGAGACTCGAGTAAGAGAGTCTTGACTCTCGCTTTTTTCTAAAGCCTATATTGTCTTGAACCATCACCTAAGGTCATTTGATCAGGAATGACATCAAATTTGCTCGTTAGGCCATAAGAATTAGATTCTCTGTTTTGCGTCCTGGCAAATTCCAAATCATGCAAGGGTACAAGGAAAACAAACACAAACTCAAGAAAAAACACAAACTTGTTTGCTGAGAAATGTATACATTTTATAGGAATTAAAAGGGATGACATACCAATTTGCAGTGATACAAACACAGATCTATACATTTTATACAATATATTTAAATATTGGTATTATTCAAGGGTAAAAAGAAGAAAATATACAATGTATGCCCAAGTAATCAATAACACTGTCAATTTTGACACACATCAATTTATCCGCCATTTCGTCTGATTCTGATTGAACGAAATGCGGTGTTACTTTCAGACCCTTGTGGTTGCTATTTGGATGTGTTTGTTTTTTCTGATTTACTCAAAATCATGCAAGCAAGGGGACGCAAAACAAAGAATCTAATTCTTATGGCCTTATTCAATAACATTAAAATCATTGTTGTCCTTACCTGTTTAAGATATAGGCTTCCTTGGCTGATATACACAAAAACAACTAATAAAAAGAAAAATCATTTGCGATACGAATTTCTTACTTCCGGTATATTCTTCCTTTTTGAAGAGCTCTTTCACACTGAACGAAACGTTAAGAGAGCACGTCAGATACTCCCGGGAGATACTATTCTCGATAGAGATACATGACCAAACATCGGGCCAAACATCTGTTATTAAAATCTGCAGCAAAATCTAAACAAGTTGATATGGGGTTATTGTAGATGATGAAACAGAGATCACTTTTATTCAAATTATATATCTGCTTCAGGCCACTGGCCTGGGCTTTCATCTAATTTGAAAGCCCATGTTCAGGCTTTTCAGTAACTTTTTGCACTTATTCAGTGGCCAATGTTTGCTACAGGCATGGTCTTGAAAGCCCATGCTACACGTCTATCCAAGACCCACACACTGTCAAAGAAGTATGATATGGGCATGAATCTTTCACGTGTAGGTAACCAGGTCTTCTGTTTTCACATGTATTGCGGATACGATAGCCAAATACGATAGCTTTATTTTTGAAAGGAATGATTGAATTACTGCGTGTGATTTCTAAGTTTTGTGGATTTTAAAATTCAGTTGAATTTGATGTTAAATTTCTTGAATCAACATCTTCTCAATGGGAACAACTATTTCAGTTTTGAGCCATTATTTTATGTACAGGGTAACCCACAATGAATGCAACCCATAAATGCACCCGCCCATGGCGTAGAATATTGGAAATAGCGTCATGAATCCCGGGACAATGAATCTCGGATCCAAGTACGTTATTAATGTTCGAAAATCAAAATATTGACAAATTTATAACCAAAAAGGCCGAAAGATTATGCGGCAAATATTGAAACGGGGGTTGTCAACATATTGTATTAGCTTCGATCTCTTAGAAGCCGTTGAATCCTAAGCGATTGGAGTTGTTTAGATCACTTAACGAATGCTATGAAATGACGAGGATTTGAGTTTTTTCAAAGTGTATAATGGCGGCCAATGGGGGATTTTAGCATATTATCCCGAAAATTAAATCATTAAAAGGCCGAAAGATCTGTGGATGGATTTTGCTGATTTGTATGTCAAAGCGAACTCTTCGTTGGGTGTATCAAGGATCCGTTGAATCCTAAGAAAATAAATGATTAATTAAAAAGTTATTAAGATTTAAAATTTTGATGAAGACTGCTCTCCATTGAAATCTTTGGACCATGAAATGTCGATTTACGCGCATGCGTTGTGACGTTATTTCCATTATGGTATGAGTACCGTAATCCAACACCAAATTCGAAAATTCATAACAATACTTTGCACATATGGCGTTCGTGACCAACTATAAAACGTTTACCCCCCATAGTGTTATATATCAAAATGTACCTGTTCATATAGGGGTTCGATTGATCTACATCAAATTATAGGGAGTCAGGTTACTTTTTGAGATATCAGCGTCCATTTATTGTGACTCGCGTTTGCTACCACTTCCTCAATTCTGATATGCCGGGCAAACGCGCAGTAAACACCTTCACGTCGGAACTATTTTTGACCTACATCGCTATTTTCGTAATTCAAATGAAAGTTGAACTCCTCCTCTTTATTTTGATACCAAATAGTGGCATACTAGGTACCCTAGAAGCAAACTATGGCGTTATTTAGAACAATACCACGAGTTTTTAAATGGACTATATAGGGGTCATACCTTTTGGCGGATGGATATGGAACCTCATACCTTAATGTGTTATGACATCACACTGATTTTTGTCTCTGCAACTTTTTTTGGCAGAAAATATCATTTTTAGTTCAAAAATGCATAAAAACGTCGGAACTGGCTGAATATGTGAAAAATTTATCCATTTAGGCTAGAAAGGGTTAATTTGCCCTACCCCAAATACGTCTAAATATGCTAGTCTAACTTTGCCACTGTGACGTCACAAATCTAACCTGACTATCTCTGAGTTTATTGAAGAAGATGATACGTCTGACAAACAGCTTTCATTCCCTATATGGCACACCGTCTACTAAGAGTTGCATCATTGACTAAATCTAAGACAAAGGCCCTGTGTCCCGAGGATTTTGACTGAAATTTGGCCATTTTCGCCCAAATCTAACTAAATTGCAGTTTCCCTCACACCTGTATTTTGAAATAAATATTGCTACAATGTAGCAATTTAAAAATCACACATGATTACTGTTTCTGTCGACCTGACACGTGTATCTAGCCTGTAAAAATGAAAAATCGCTACATTGTAGCAATTTCACTGAGATATGGGCCCTGAAAATCATGTAATTTTAGCAAAAAATGAAGAAATAACCTGCAATTTTGACGGAATTTCAGAGGGCTCTCTTTCATCCATGACCCTCCACGGGCCTCTTATGACCATTCTTATACTCACAGAATGGTTGAAAGTGATTTCAAATCATTGTTTGCCCTACGCAGAACGAAAAAATCGATTCTGTTCTCAAATTCTGCTAGAATATTGGTCTCTGGCCAACTAGCAGACAATTTTAGGCCTCATATTAAGGTATGAGTACCGTAATCCAACACCAAATTCGAAAATTCATAACAATACTTTGCACATATGGCGTTCGTGACCAACTATAAAACGTTTACCCCCCATAGTGTTATATATCAAAATGTACCTGTTCATATAGGGGTTCGATTGATCTACATCAAATTATAGGGAGTCAGGTTACTTTTTGAGATATCAGCGTCCATTTATTGTGACTCGCGTTTGCTACCACTTCCTCAATTCTGATATGCCGGGCAAACGCGCAGTAAACACCTTCACGTCGGAACTATTTTTGACCTACATCGCTATTTTCGTAATTCAAATGAAAGTTGAACTCCTCCTCTTTATTTTGATACCAAATAGTGGCATACTAGGTACCCTAGAAGCAAACTATGGCGTTATTTAGAACAATACCACGAGTTTTTAAATGGACTATATACCTTTTGGCGGATGGATATGGAACCTCATACCTTATTCTACGCCGCCATGTTGCTATAACCAATGGGGTACAAGTTTAATTTTTCACTCATGTAGAGCTGAGTTGATAACAGATCAGTCCTTAAAGTTTGGGTTCTGCCATTCAAATGATCTGTCTTTTATGATCATTCTAAAAACGTGTTCGATATGACCACCATAGGCACCCGGGCATAGGCAGCGCTACGTTGACGTCGCAAACACTCCTGATGGATATTTTTTAAACATTTTTTCAAGAGAGGACCAGGCCTGTCAACTGTCCCGCATTTTGCGTATTTGTCACGCATTTGCTGAAGAATTTGAAGTCACGCCAGTTATTTTTGCGTGACAGAAAATGTCACGCAAATACGCATTTTACCTGGTAATTGTCAAGCAAAAATATTTCTGCAGAAAAATTTCTAAAAAAGATCGTCTACACAGCAAAAATACGAACGCCGGAAAAAAATGTACGCATTTCGTTCGGACTTTTCACGCGAATTATGTATATGTCACGCATTCCGTTCGAAATTTTTCGTACCAATGGGGTACAAGTTTAATTTTTCACTCATGTAGAGCTGAGTTGATAACAGATCAGTCCTTAAAGTTTGGGTTCTGCCATTCAAATGATCTGTCTTTTATGATCATTCTAAAAACGTGTTCGATATGACCACCATAGGCACCCGGGCATAGGCAGCGCTACGTTGACGTCGCAAACACTCCTGATGGATATTTTTTAAACATTTTTTCAAGAGAGGAGTGGACATACATACACACCCATGATACCAGGTATAAATATAATTTAACAATCGAAAGATTTAGAACCGAATTGAAACTGGTCGAAAATCAATTGCGATCAGAGGCAGGCAAAGTAATGATCTTATCAATACATACCAATAATAATTTATGCTTCCACTTTCTCTTTCATTTTGATTCACTTAGCATTTGATCTACGACTAAAGTCTAAAATATAAATTTTCAAATTATGGCCCATGGAATATCACCCTATGTAGACTGTGCTATACGAAAACAAGCGGTGCAGATAGCATGTGTGCAAGGTGCGAATATTAATGGTCGTTTTTTTAAATTTGAATTCGTGATATTTCATAAACTAAATCATGTAAGGTTCTCATATATCCATATGTAGAGGATACCCAATAAAAGGGAAATTTTGCCCATAGTTGTATTTTTCATTCTCTAACGATTTACTAAACATTCATCCTTTAATTATCCAAAGCAAAGAATTTGAAATTGCTGCTTTATTACAGTTTACAGCCTTCATTCAGTATTGGTGATCGAGAAGACCAATCGATATAAATTATTTTTGCATTTTGAAAGTTATTAACTTTCTGTGTGAATTCTAAAAATTGAAAACCTTTAACGGATATGTGCTACAGATCTTAACAAGCGGTGCGGATATCGTCACTTTACAGATATCCACACCGCTTGTACAGAGGTATCACATTTTTCTTCAATGTTTCCCATAATCAAACAGAAACCTTTCAACTTTCAAATTTCAGATTATTTGCTTTGAAGAGAGTATTATTGCTTGATGTGTCGTTATAGAATGAAGTACACGCCTAGGCCTATTTACACAATTTCCTTTTTATTAGGGAACCTGCTCACATGTATGAATATGATTAAGAACCCAACATGCCTTAGTTGATGAAATATCACGAAATCAAATTAAAAAATAACCGTTAATATCCGCACCTTGCGCACATGACATCCGCACCGCTTGTTTCCGTATACACAGTCTGCGTAGAGTGAATATATGAAATATTGTACGACTGAATTTTTGATTAAAATAATTGTATTAAATTGAATTGAATGGAATAATCATTGCTTATGTGTGTTGTCAAATGTAGCAGGGTTTATATGATTGTTTGTTGTTTTAAATTATGTGTTCTTTAATCCCAAATTAAACAGAATAATGTAGTCTATTTTTTGCTATTGATTCAATGATAATATATATATTTATGAAATCTATACTATGCGTCTGAGGTGTTGAACCTCAGACGCACAGCAGAGAACTAAAGTAGAATATATTTAGACACACTTTTAGCCACTAAAGCAATGACGTAAGCAGACAGCATGTACATACATGGAAATACAAGTGCAAAAAGTGCTACAATGTGCGTTCGGCATACATATTAGATATATGCCATATTTTTATTGTTTACCTGTCAGCTGTCACCGTGCTAATCTCAACAATCAAGGCACTGTGATGATATAATTAAGGTGAGAACTGTCGGGCCTTTTAGAAAATAGGCATGACGAGTGAGTAAAACGTTGCAAAATTGAGAGTTTTTAAATAATAACTAAAATATGCATGTTCAACATGTGCCTTGATTTCAAATTGATAATGATGAAGACTAAACTTTTTCGAAATGTTCTTGACTTTTATACAACCACAAAAGTAGGGAAGAGAGGTTTACACGCAATGAATTATACATGTCATGATATAGGGAGAAAATCAATAAACTCAAGGCCTGTGTTACACTTGCTAACTGTATATTGAATGCTCTTACTATCACGGGGGATAAGCAAAACGAGGGCGAAGCCACGGACTGCGACTCGCGTAATTCAAAACGAGGTTACAACGCATTATAGCTGAACAATGGCGGTAAGTCCAAACTTAATTTGGAAGGCATGTTAGGATTTGGGGTAGATTATTGGTTTGGATAATCTACAGAATAGCTAGTATGTTCCAGTCGGTGATCAACATATTCATACTCCACCTGCAATGGCATTCTTGGTGCTCGGCTGTCCAATAGTTTAGCATGAACACAAATGAATTCGAAATCTGCCACAAAAAATGTAATTTTGTCAATATTTGTCCCTAATATACCGATTTAAACAAAGGAATCAGAAAAAACATCGAATTAATATAATTATTCATGTTCTGTTGTTACAATTACATCTTCGTGTGATATTTGGTAAGCGGAAAACGTACAATTACATAGAAAATTGGAATTTATGATAGTCGCAGTCCATCCATCTGCCCAACGCAGTCCGCGACTCAGTGTTGCTTTATATCTGGAGCTGAACGCAATCACAGCCAAAGGTAGATAGCACATGTGTGTACAGGTGTGGCCGAAATGGAGCAACTTTGGACAAAATTGAATATAAAGGGCTATTTTAATAGACCTACGTACATCGTCTCTCAATCCATTCTGCAAATATATACAAGCTGTCAAATACAGCTGAAATCATGAATTTATGGTAGCTAGCAATATTGATGGACTGTTGGAAAGATCATCCAAAATTACATTAACTCACCAACTCTCCAATTATTTGATATTTTCCTGATATCTTAAATACTAGTTAATGTACCCTTCCCCAACAGAAAACTTTTATTGCATCATCAAAAAGTTAATTGTTTCGCATTTCTACTTCTTATAAAAAGTCTCACCACTATCCAATTATCTTTATATTTATAGTCCGGTGGCCAAGAAGGAAGGGGTCGTTTTAGGGTATAAAGTTTTTTTCTTTGCATATTCTGATAGTACTTGACATTCTTAAGTAAATTAAACAATCTGCAAAATTTTATAGGTTGAGCATTTTTTTCTGCTGACTCAGCAAATTTTTTACTTTATTTTTCAATTATTCTAATTTATCTCACTGAAAAATATATTGTGAGGTTATATTAAGCACTTATTTAACACAGACCTCTTCAAAACTCGACAAATGCATAAAATTATAATGTCTTAAAAAGTGCTGAGTCATCATTTTTTCTAATAATTGTTTTTTTGCAGATTTATATCAATAATCTTAGAAAATCCAAGTTTTAAGATCAATATTTCACAAACTAATGCATTTGTAGGCAAAGGCAAATTGCTTTTAATTGGTTATTATCCCAGACATAGAGTGAAGTCCTCCACCCATTCGTCTGTTATCAAGATGGCCACCGCTTTAAAAATGACGGGACTATTTCGCGAAAATATTAACTCTTTATTTTTAAACCAAAGTACTGAATATTTTTTTTTAAATTTTGGTAGTATATTCACAACATCCATCTTTTCCACATATATTCTATGTTTTTCACCCTGCCCCCCCCCCCCCGGGCTGAGTATAGGAGGGAGGGGGTGGGGAAAAAGAAATTTTCATTAATTTTGAGATCTTTCTGAAGTGTAGCTTTATTATACTCAAATGAAAGGCAATTTAGAGTGGATTGCAAATATTGTATCATTTTTCTGATTCAGAAAAATTCAAAATGGCTGCCTAATGTAGGATTACACAATAATTTCCTGATCCATTCAAAGTATGTCTATATGGCCGAGAGGGCTTGAGCGCCAGCACGTTCAAACTAGGCAATTAGGTGCTGTAACCACGAGTTTGAGACGTGTGTGCTCCTTGTGTTTATTCATTTATACTCAAATTGAAGTAGATAACAATCATTGTATTGTTTCTAGAGTAGAAATTCGCTATTACTCAGCGATTTCTTCAAAGTAAGGCTATATATTTAAGAAATATAGACTGAAGAGCAGGTGTTATATCGACGATTACACCATGCAGGGCTAGGTACAAATGTTTTATGTACCCCGAACGACTGAAGGGAGTGAAGTGTTCGAAAGCTTTTGTGCCTAGCTCTATCATATGGGGTGTACGTATCCTAGCTTATTAGATATGGCATTGCATGCTCTAAATATTTAGATTTTAAGTCAAGACACAATACTTTAGTGATCAAACTGTTAGGTCAAGGTTATACTTGTAAAAAGTTTAAGAAATACTTTCTGGTCTTTGCTGAAAAATACAAGTCATTAATTTCGAAGTTTTAAGTTTTACCACTTGAGATGCTGAAGGATGTAGGAATTGTTTAAGAAATTGGTGCTGAACTCACAATTTTTTCAATTGGCACCTTTTGAGGTGGATCCCAGCACTGGCATTAATGGTTGAGAAATAGGGATCGAAACCAGCCATAGTTCTCTCCTGATGACCATTGTGAATTATTGTGTTTTATGGATTATGGCGATGGCTTTTGCGAATGGATGTTGACCCTTTGAAACGCCTATGGACTTGTAGACTGGATTTTATCTATCCCACATCATTTGAGGCTGAATGCTCTATTTTATATGAGTACTTGTATCTACAACTATTTTTGATGTTATGGGTATTGGATATCAATTTCTAATTTTTTCTTCAACATGTATTGTAATGACTTCAGTATGAATGAAATGTCCCTTGGTGTTCTAGTCTTGGATTGTGATATTGGTTCTTGAATGGCGGGGGAAAGACATTGTTTCTTTTCATGTTAGATCATGGTTTTGGGATATATGGGGTTTGTTTTTCTTGACTGGTATGCACTTAGAGTTTGCTTTTTCTTGCTAAGTTCCATTACAACTTTTGGTCCTTTCCCTTTGGCACTCGTGCTTAGATATCTAAGGGGTGTATTTGTCGATATTACACATTATTCATATTACCAGGGGTAGTGTTGAGGAATATACCCCAGGTGAAATTCTGATATATCTGTAATGTATGCCTTTTAATATCTGTCAATTTGATCAAGGGTAGAGTAGATGGTAAATAATCACATCATGCCATATACAGATTCATGAATATATTGTAGTGTTCGTTGGGATTTGCTACTCCGTGGAGTTGTCATTTTCTAGTTAGATAACTATTACATAATCAACACTGTCGCTGTACTGCTAAACAGTCATTTTCTCCTGAAGCGCGCCATCCAGCCATTTTCTCCTGAAGCGCGCCATCCAGCCATTCACATTTATGGGCTTCAAGACTTCTGATGAGACACACTGTATGTCTTCTGGTAAAGCTCCTAAGTAATAATTCTCAACTTTTTCTCAACTAAATTGTGTTGATTCAAGGGAGGATGGATTGGGACAATCTGCATATTTCAAGTTTTCCAATGAGCCCCCTTGAAATTTCTGCAATCTGCAAACGCCTTAATTGTTGGGGGTAGGGTTCGAACTTCATTGCTGTTGTAGATTGTTTTAATCGCTTTATATCCACCACTGCCCTCCCAGGTGATTTTCGCTGCATGGTGGACAGATTCTGCAACTGATGGTTGTGGTTATGATGCACAAGAAGAATATGCTATATATATCATTCCATGCCATATTCATTTGTAAGATGTTTAGCTTTAATCATCATGGTCATCATTGTGCTAGGGTCGGATGGTTTCATGTCAGCCAATGGCTAGTACTTTGTTAAGGTGGCAGGCTTAACTGATTTCTCTTTCATTGTAGTCAATCTGGTAAAGTATCCTCCATATTTGGGGATTTAATAGCTCAATATTCTTTTTAGTTGTACTGCCAATATCACCAATGTATGGGTTGACTTCCATCCATTCCAAAAGGACATGTTTGCTCCAAAATTGTTTGAAATTATCTGTATCAATCTAGATACAACAGCAGAAGCCTTGAACTCCAGCAGTATAGTCCCAAGCGATATTTGTAGAGGTAAATAATTGTTGATAACTAAGTTGGTGATTCAGTAATCTCTTAGAGGGGAAAGATCACAATTGTTATTTTTCACACCTCTATGAAAATGGAATGTTAGTATAGTCACATTTTTCGTTTGGATGACATTTTTTGACAAATTAGTTTAAAAAGCATCATATTTTGTATCACATGATGACTTTATAAATTGAGGTACATTGAATATAATTGCATGTGCTTCTATCAAAATATGTACTATAGGTATTATCTTTTAACAAAGTTTTTTTTATTGTAATACTATGTAATCAATCTCAAACTAGATATCAGCAACTCGCACAGATATTAAGACATACATACATTAGAGATATATAAGAAGTTTCACAGATTTAAGCATATGAGTGACCATTAAGGGGTTTCAAAGGTATAAATCATCAAGACAATACTATTTGAAATCTAATATAGTATCATGTAACACTACTTTGAAAAGATCTTTAAGTAATACAGAATTCCTGCTCTATGCAGCCATTTTGAATCTTAAGGCATGAATTAGGAAAAACAATACTTTAACAGTGACCTGCTCTCACATTCCTTCAAATTGAATATAAAATACGCATACTTTGAAGATCACAAAATTATTGCGAAATCCCACACTAGGCGGCCATTTTGAATTTCAGGAGGCCCGAATCAGAAAAATGATACAATATTTGCAATCTACTCTTAATTACCTTTCATTTGAGTATAATAAAGCTATACTTCAGAAAGATCTCAAAATTCCTGTTTTCCAGACCCCTCCCCCCATTCACAGCCCCTGGGGGTCAGGCTGAAAACACGCAATGTATGTTAAATTAAACCTTTGTTCTCTCTATCTCTCCAAAACACATATTTCTCAGTGGTCTAATAATTTTTAATGAATGTTAACATGTTATAACTTTCAAAGTGCCACGCCCCCTTTGAAATTAATTACATAATTATATGGTGCGATTAAAAAAAATGCTCAACATATATGATTTTGCAGATTATTTCATTTTAAAGAATACATGTGTAGCAATAGAAAAATGCACAGAAAAAAACTTTATACCTTAAAACGACCTTTAGCCTGTCAGAGGTATTTGGCAACCGGACTATTAACCCTATCCACAAATTGGTTTGTAATAAACATATTACGTTGTCATCTTGCGCTCGACTGTTCTGCCAAATACGCTATTGAATTGCCATATTTCTAGGTCTTAAACGATACAATATAGCAATTTGGGACATTGATTCAGGTAATAGATATATGTTAATCAACGTAACTTTGAATGATAATCTGGATGCTGACTTTCTTTTCCTGAAACAATAATAGCGTAGGAATATAGTTTACACTATCTTATTTATTTCGTGTTCGCGGCTGGACTGCGTTGCTTAGAATATCAATGGAGGCTGTGTTGCGTTGTTGAAATAGCTTTGTTTACTGGACTGCGTCCACTATGAATGCGCAGTTTGAATCTAATTTTCTCCTCATGAACACATTCTTTTATCAAATCATTTTCACGAATTATACTCGGAGCCTCAACTAACCTTTAGATATCAGAAACGTGTTCAAACTCCTTTCAAATGTATAGTAAATTAAATAATATACACATATTTTACAGGTAAAATCAGAACTTTGCTACTGTTTTAGCTTGATCTGGACAACTGCTTATTTTATTATCTACAGACCAACAGTAGATACAGAGTAATATTTTGGTCACCGATTAGACACTACGATAGCATTTAAAATACCTGGATTTCTCTATTTTGTCGGAAGAAGCAGAAGGCACTGCCGGATGTCCCTCAATTTTGGCGCTGGGCTGCGGTGTAAAGTTACGCGAGTCGCAGTCCGTGGCTTCGCCCTCGTTTTGCTTATCCCCCGTGACTATGCTAGAATATTTTCTGTCCCTATATCTTGACACTATTAAATACAATGAATGATCTTTTCATTAGGTTATTGTTTATTATCAAAATGTTCTTTACATGATATATATTTTATAATGATGTAGGGGATCAAAGCTTGAGAAGACTTTGAAAATGTAATTTAAGGATTACTTTCTTGCTATAAATCGAAGGTGGGGCGATTTTGTTGAAATTTTATGTATATGAATACTTTCTTATGACAATAAGGCTAGCGAGCGGCCATATTGAAAAATGGTGGCCATCTTTATGTGTTTTTGATATAACTACAATTAGTGGAGCGATTTTTTGAAAGTTAATATGTGAATACTTATTTATGACTTTATTTTGATATTAATAATGGGCGGCCATTTTATGTTCAGTCTTTTTGATTTTTATGATTTTTTAACATAATGATAAAACTAAACACTACTGGTGTATTCAAAAAGCAGTGTCCTTGAACGCAGATAGGTCAATGTTGTATGTTTTTTATATTCTGCTTCATGTACTAATCTAGCCTTTGTACATAATAAAAACAGTTCCCAAAGCACAACCAATTATAACTGGCAGTTGGCCGTATGTGAGCGGACCACTACTTTTAAGGGCTTTGTCATTACAAAATGCTGCATTGCAATAGCATATGTGTCGAGCTTTGGTTTGTTCGCACCTGTCTCTGGTAATCGGAGCCATGGACGAGGGAACACAGCCACGGCTAATACCTGTAATTGGAAATAAAGAGATGGACATATCAGTGCACGAGCAAATTTTTTTTTTGATAATTTATTTGTTTCATGAATCATACAATATACACCCAAAGGCTGGTCAATAGCCAAACGGCATAAAATCCCAATCTTTGAGTTTTATACATGTACTGTATAATAGAGGTGCAGGTTACTGTTTTGCTCAATCTGCCGAGAAAATACTTGTTAAAAAGTGTCTCATTTTTTGACAACCCGATATATCGATTCTGAAAACGCCCCTTGATATTTAGGAATAAATAATAATAGGCCATTCAATATGGTGAAATTCAGCAGAGTTGGATAGAATGAAGCACGAACCGAAGGTGAATGCATTTGTACTGATATTCTGTAGAATATCACCATATCAAATGGCCTATCATTTTTTATTCCGGTTCATACATAGCCTAAAAATGATATCATTGTTCAGAGAACTGGGAAGTGAGGTCCATGAAGTAACCAAACTTGCTGTTGCTTTCGCCATTCCAAGGGGTAATGTCACATACATATACATAGATTCCTGGGAGCAAATCGAATATATGCACGGTCGTGCATTTATGGAGAACGGCTATGTTTTCTTCTGATTGGTTGAGAAACTCAATTAAAGCACGTTCATGGTTGAATTGACCTCTCGTTTCATTACCTTTATTGTCTCTTGAATACATGCAGCCGTTACCATTACAGCATCCAACCGCGTCTGTGCACTTCGTTGTTCTATTATTAGGGTTTTTGAAGCCCTCATTCTTGCACCAGTTGTCTTTATGGGAGGAGCATTTATGACATCTCACACCAAACACTATAACAACAAATCAACACTTCAACTTGATGATCGTTTAGGTTCTTTTGAATTATCTTTGTCATTTCTGGTCACAAGGAGAAATGAGGTTATTAGTATTACTACCACCTTATGCTCAGGGAAGAGGAGGGAAAACACCCGTAGCTTAAGAGTTAACAGATATAATTTCGTTTTTTGCTAATGCCACCTTCGTTTGTCCAAATTCTCACAAGTTAGTTTTCGAATATAACACGTCGTTGTGATGTTTTAATTGATGTACAGGGCGTCCACAAACAAAGTATACCCAACTTCAAAGCCAGAATACTAGAATTCTGAGCAGTATTTAAAAATTCAAAGGTAACAGTATTAGGCCTAGTTTGTCTTCCATCTACGTAACTAGATCATTATGTTACTGTCATGGATGACTGGACTATCATGACTTCAATGAAAGGTGATACAATCAGCATTGTGCCAAGTTAGCATTCAAGTAGGAATCGGATTGAAACAATGAATTTCAAAATGAATGTTCAAAATATATTTATGTTCTAATTCAAACTTGTTTCACGTTCTTCAACCTTGTGTATAATTTTCCTTAACTTTTTATTGTTACCTCCCTCTCCGGAAATTGTATCACAAGAGCCTCTTGAACAGCAATGAAAATTCTACATGATGATATGCAGCTTTGAAGTCAATTGTATCCCCCCATTTAAGTCAATATTGCTAGAAACCATTTTCCATAGTATGAATATGGGTTCTTACACAGTACACTGGACTTGCATATTAGAACTTTTTGTTTGCTATACTGCTCAAATGTCAGTTGAACCATGTTTGCAGGCCCATTTTAGAGTAAGTTAAGCTTTTTGCCAAACCATTTTTTCATAGGAGAGTTATTCAGCCTCCAGTCCAGCTCATTATGAAAGTCCTGTGGAACAGAATGTCATACATGACAGTTGTACAGACATAATGATCTAGGTACCATTGAATGGAGGACAAATACAGCTTTTTGCTGTTACCTTTGTGTTTCAAACAATTGCTCAGGATTCTAGTAATTTGGTTTTGAAGTTGGTATAGTTTTTTGTGGACATAGGCATATTCCTTTCACCTTTTTTTTTATCTTGACGTGAAATAATAAGCTATGATATTTATTGAATCTCTTTCGTAACCGACATTTAGTTCGGCCGTATTTTTGGTACAGCGTAGTAAACATTTTCCATTTACTTGTCACTGTGTTCTTCAACCTCCGATCACAGGGCTTCAAAATCCAGACTATATTCTTTCTTTTTACCCCCTGCGATAAGCAGTTAGCATTTCCCCGATTAAGAACTCGCAATCTGATTGGCTGTCGCAACACTACGACAGAAATCATTTATAAGTCATTGCGCATAATTAAAATCACGTGGTTCAGTTTAATCGGGCGCTTCCAAATTGGTTATAGCAGAGGGGGGGGGAGGAGATACGGATTCTGGACACCTGCATAGGAGGATGTGTGTTCTTTAGATTCTTATTAATAACAAATACTTACCCGTTGACGTGTATAAGGCTATAACAGCTGTGAACAAGATATATTTCATCGTCGTGCAATGCTTTGTAGATCTCAACTAGGGTTCCTTGAGTTCAACTGGTATCATATTTGTGTATGTTGTTGTTATGTTTGTCGTGACTTTCAGCCATAGCAAACAAAGACATATGCAGCATTAATCTTAATCAATTTTATTGCATTATAACATTTTTATTAAAGTAAGAATTTTTAGCTCAAGTACTCCCAAGTAAATGTTGTATCTTATCATAACCTTTAGTTTTCAAATCCAAAAACTGCTAATTGAATTAGCAACAAATACACTGCTACGAAATTAGCGTATGTTTCGAATTAAAATGCCATTAAAGTACACTTTACATGAAATAAAGCGATAAAATAAATAAGTAGTGGTTTAACATCCAAATTCCTTGGTGACATAGATACGAAACTTATCATGCAACAAGGATTGGCTCCCAGAATGCATGCAACATTGATATTTTTGCTATAATATGGGCATGTCGTGATTACAAAGTTTGAATTCAAATAGCCGCCATTTTGTTCACTTCAACATTTGAATCATGAATTTTGGTCCTATTTCCCAACGAAAAATTCCAAAACTCATAGGAAATGATCGAGATATTGGTTTGCATCTTTCGGACTGTTAATTTTGAATTTATATTTATTTAATAACGACATTTCGACGTTTTAATTGTTGGAAAATATCGAGTTTCGATCCAGGGAGCCAATCCTCCTTGCTCTACTGTAGTCAGAACAAGTATCGATAACAACATTTCTGCACCATTTATAAACAAACGACTGATCTTAATACAAGCAAGCTCTTTTTAATGACACGAATGATCAGATGCCCCCTTAACTTACTGAAAATCACCAATGGAATATCAAAATCAATGTTACAAGATGGAAAGCTTTGAGGAGTGTACTAATCTTCGTCTTAACATATGCTCTATATGATCGAATTTGACACTGTCATAGGTTTTAAAAAATCGACCATGCAAATGCCTGGAATGCACTTTTAGAGTATTCCAAGGCATCTTCTAGGTATCGTATGTTTTCACCAATAAAGCGATCTTTGATTAAGGCTGTCTGGTCATGCCCTATAAGTTTCGCCAAAATAACACGGATTCGGAGCGCAATTGATTGATACAATTACGTTATCATATAACAACAATTAAACAGAAATTTATGTATGCACAGGTCAAGTCACTCTTGCATTTGGTATTCCGTCTGTCTACACGTCTGTTCTAAATCCAGGTATCAACTTTCTGGTTATAATGCCTAGTTAATAGTTCTTCCACTGAGTTCAGTGCTCCCTCCATCCAATACTGATGTTTACTATAGCAACTCCCAACGATGTGGACGTTCTCGTCCTCAAATGGTTTGATCATTTGTTTAGAAATGATTTCCCAGTCAGCACCACCCTTCCAGGAATAGAATGCTGACCCTCGGGGTCCACCTTGTTTCCAATAATGCATTACACCTGTGTACGGTCTTGCTAGGTCTTCAGGTCGTAGTTGGTGTACCTCTGCAATCTGGTTATGGGCCTCTGCGAGAATCGTCTCTGATATGTTGTATTCACTAGCAAGCATATTGGTAGCTAGAGGTGTGCCTAACAGATCACTATCTAACAACGAGTCATCCCAGAATGAAGCATGTGGATAAGATGAGTACACTAACATCATTGATTTCCTTCTTTGGTCTTTAAGTGTACCAGAGGAAGGTTTCTTTTGGCCCATGTATAGCATCTGACTAACAGGAAGCGTTGAAACAGACCTCCCTGTCGTATAACCTAGTCCCTCCCACCATGGGTTCTCGTAGCCAAGGTACATTTTTAATGCATCTTGTCCATAGACAGCATTAAGTCGAGAGTCAATAAATTTCTGATTTTTGAGAGGTTGCCAGTCGATTTCCATGAGAGCATCTCTATGCAAAGCTAGGATCACACGTTTAGCGCAAACGGTAACATGTTCCTGAAAAATATGACCATTGTATTATATTCTTAGGTTTTCAAGCATGCAGCTAACCATTGGAAAGATAAATAAATAATATATAGACCAACATTTCAATCAAAAAAGTAATGATTTTCAAGTGAAAGCATTGTCAGGCCATTATGGGGGCTTGTAGTGTAGATGGGCAAATGGATTTAAATTATGTTATTCTATCAAAGCCTGCGCCATGTGTGTTAATATCAACGACATTTAACGTTAGCTATTTTAATGTCAACACAACTGGCTATCATGACCATACGATATATACCAAAATTATTGCTTATTAATTCTTAAAAATAGCTTTAACGATGATATTTTGGACAAAACTCAAACTTTTCTTTTATAAAGTCAGACAACATAAAAAATAATGTATCATGTGCTTCGATAATTTCTAACTTGTTAATAAAGGATGTTTGCAACCAGCTCTTGAAAGGGGGTTGTTTGATATTTCATGCTGGTAAAACAGAATATATCTTATTATGTCCATATGATTTGTATCATCCAACACACTGCTTAAATAAACGTTGTTGATAGGTTGTTGATGGATAATTTGTTGAAAGCTTCGCCAGAAAGTGCCTTAAGGGGTTACCTTTTAAATGACAGACAACGAAAACATCAGACGAAATATTGTTATTTTTGTGGTGAATTTAGGTTTTGCTCTCCAATATTTTATATCTTCTAAACAGTCAGATTTCAGCTACGCACCAACACGATTTCAAAAAATTATTTTGGAAAATGAAACTAATCCAATTTAGTATTTAAATTATTGTTATATACGTTCTCAATTGTATCTAGTTTCTTAGTGAATTGAATGTGTTGAGTGTGTGTTGGAGGATACAAATCATATGGACATGATAGAACGTTTTCTTTTCATGAGTATGAAATATCAAGCAAATCCCTTTTGAGAGCTGGTTACAAACATACTTAATTAACAAGTTGGAAATTATTGGATACATAAGTTACATTATTTGTTATGTTCTCTGAGTTTATTTTAGCAAACTTTGATTTTTGTCCAAAAATCATCGTTAAAGCTAAAGCTGTTTTTAAGAATCAATAAGCAATATTTTCAGTTTATATCGCATGCTCATGATAGCCAGTTGTGTTGACATTAAAATAGCACAACATTAAATGTAGTTGATATCAACAAACATGGCGCAGGCTTTGGTAGAATAACAGAATTTGCCAATATTTGAAAATATCAATTATCGTAAATTTGCCCAGATAGAGCATATGTATTCGGATGATGCCTTGTTCATTAATTCCCGAGTTTTATATTTCTATGTTAATATAATATTCACCATTCAGTACTTTCCAAAAACCCATTACACAAAATACTCACCTGAGTATCTGATGTGATATAGTTGTCGGTTGATGTTTTCTGGAATGTTAACAGTTTATTCTGCCCTTGATTTTCTATGCGTATCAACTTATGGTTCTTGTGCACTTTATGTCTGGAAAGTTCGTTTCATTCAATCAGATTATTTTTGAAACAATAACTTGTCGAAATGGCTCAAATTGTACTTTTCATTGATGTATATTCATCGTATTATTTGCCGTACTGATGTATGGTTGTACTTTTGTATTTCATTTGATTAAGACAAACAACCAATATAACAATAAAAATTAATTATTGTTTTGCGTTAGGCTAGTAAAAAATCTAGAGTAACCAATGAAGAGCATCAGATTGTCTCAGATAAATGAATAAACACAACGAGCTTATGCGTCTCGAACTCACTCGTGGTTACGGCGACGGCACCTAGCTTAGCGTCTTACCGACCGCTGACCTTGAAACAAAATTGCAGGCAAGGGGTACATATTTCCTTACAATGTCAAATCATCTCCCAATCTCCCAAAATATCTACATGATATACTGTTATCAATGTTGTTTAAGATTCAAAGTGCAAAATGGGGGAAATGTTCAAATTCTTAAGTTTTTCCAAATAATAAACATGGCAACCAAAATAGAAAAAAATTAAAGTCTAATTTGCTTAAGTGCTACCTCTCTGGCTTGTTTTCTGCAAACTGTTTTATCATTGTCATAGGGAGAGCGCTCATACCACTTCTTAACGATTTAAACCGCATCTCATCGTAGGATCCTTCAGCAGGTACTGGTACATTTGACGCTGCATTTTCTTCAGAGAGATCAAAGCCCAAAGCGTCTGAGACATATTCCATCGCTTCGATTGAGCCACCATATTTGCGCCAGATTCTGTCGTATCTGGAATGATGCAAATATAAGTTGTTTGATATTTTAGTTTTATTTAAGTCACGTAATCACATCGGTTTAACATCGTTGTTGTAATTAAATAATATCCTATTCAAAAAGGAATGGAATCTACATGGAAGAAAGGGGGCATGCCTTTGTTTGGATAAATCAATGCCATCTTGATCTTGTTTGTCATCACCAAAATCGGGATTCAGTACGCTAGCTTCGTAGATTTTCCTGCGCAGTTGGTTTGGAGATTTCCCCATTTCATCGTGAAATAAGTTGTAGGGTACTTTAGAACTCCCCAGATCACTATACTTCATATGTGTTCCTCTGAGGTGAAAAGTGTTGTTCCAGATCTTTGACCTAAAATCGCCACTGTAATCCTGAAAGTCCATGGTTTCCAGTTCAAGAGATTCTATGGCTTTTGTGACATAGACGTGACCCTGCAGTCCCTCCTTAGTTTCAACTGCTGGAATATACCTCATCGCTCCCATCTCAGCCAGTTTGTGGTTAATACCTAGTAAAATCCAAAATGACCCCTTTATGTCAATAACTGAATACAAAAACCAATAAACCATGCCATGAAAATTTAAATCATAGAATTCCATAGGAAGACTTCCCCTTCTCCAAATTATGATAAATCTTGATTACTGTTAAACGCTATTTTAAACATCACGTGATAGATATAATGTTTGAAGGATCTTCACACCTGCACCATTTCTTCTCGAAAATTGTATAAAACCATAACAATATCTACGATGCTAGTTTTACACACAAATTAGAATAACTACTTCTATACCAGGTAGTTTTCGGCTGTATACACGCCCCCCTATTCGGTTGGAATATTCAAATAAGTGAATTGACTGTTTGCTTTCCTTTAGCTTCCAGGCTGCATATGCGCCACCTATTCCACCACCTATCACGGCTATGTCTATTGGAATACCTGGAAATAATATTAATAATATTAATATGTAAATATCATCAAAATCAATAATTCAGTCTAATTATTTTATGCGTCATCATTATTTGATTAATGAGATAATTAGCTTTGAAAAAAATTATTCGGTCAAATTTAAGATAAGACAGCCGTAATAAAAAACATATAGTAAATTAATGATACCCTAGTTTCTTAACTACATAGTGTTTAAAGGTGAAATAAATAGTGGAAGGAAATCTATCTTTGACTTACATTATTAAACATTTGACTACATTTTACACTGATTCGATGACGTTTGATTATTAGCAATATGAAAAGTTTAAACACCTTAACAATGAAATCGCAATATATACTCCTGTCCTCGAATAGCATTTAAGTTAATAAGATGAACAAAAATTGAATACTTACATTTTTCTGTAGGAGATGTAGTACCTGCCAATCGTGTGCATTTTTTCATGCAAGGTTCTAGCGCGAATTTTGGAGGCACACCGGCATCGTCTAGGCACCTTTTCCAACAGCCACCACCACATGTGTACCCCTAAAAACAAAAACACTGGAGCAAAATACCTCTGCAAGATGATTCCAGAAGAGGTTTGATGATTTATTGATTAAGAAGTATATGTACATGTACATGTATAGCCCTGAACTCCAGGAAGGATCGCCTTTAATCGTATTTTGTATTTTCTAGTTTCTCCATAACTGATCATTATTTGCGTCCTTAATTTTTTACTGACACTTGCGGGTTCTTACAGTTTAAAGAGCGGGTTGTTACGGTTCAAAGAGCGGGTTGTTACAGTTCATCATTGCGTAGAGCGACTTGGAAATTGTGATTATGCCATCAATACATAGGCAGCCAAAGTTCACAAAATTAGTGTTTCAGCAATTAGCTTGATGTGTTTGATCCATGTGCTGTGAACAATACCCTGTATGTACAGTCTTACAGTTTCAGATGAGTAATGTGTATTGTGCATTGTTGAATTTTTGGATTGTTGCTGAATTGATGTTGATGTGTTGGACTTCTCAGTCAAGTCAAGTAAGTAAGTCAACATTCGAAAATAAAAATCTCAAAAATCGTACATCTTTGATTTCCAAAATAATTTGTGAGGTGGTTATTGAGATGATAATACACATTTTAATGTATTAATTTTGAGTACATCTCGAATCCATTCTCAACAAAGCGTTCTCGAAATAAGTATTCGAAATGTTTGAGTTCGGGATGGTAAAAGTACGTTAAGATATACCGCTCCTTAACAAACTCCTTTGGGAACAAGATATAGAATCAAATTTATATTCTTCTTATTTACTCCCTGACACATGCCCATGAATGTTGCATAAGTAAATATCTCCGTTTCAAAAAAAATTGAAAACGTTGTTCTCTACAGGTGCCATTTTTTAAAATTGAAAAACAAAATTGAACATTTTGCTTTTCTAAATTGATAAGTTTCTTGGAATACAACTTAACCGTAAACGATTTAAGTCATTAATAATATTCCCCTCAGTGAACCCATGCTGAAAAGACAGTAACCGGGTCAATATTTTGTGTTCAGCCTTGTTTTCATGACTTTTAAAGATGAGTCGACGATTATGTAGGAATTTTCATTTCCAAATGTAAGCGTGTCAACTCCTGTTTTTGCACAATATCTAGCCTTTTATAATGATAGATCGCCAAAATCTACATGTACTTCTCAACGAGGCGATATGTTTTTAAATTTATAGATGTAAGCTATAAACTCAAACAAAAATTAAAACCACCCGCTCTATTATTTTGATTACACAAGACGAAATTTCCACTCCCGGGGAGCACTTTGGTACCACTTTGAAGAAAGATTCTTGAAAAATCGTTCGAAGTTTCACAAAAGGTTTTACGTAATTTTATTGCTTTGTTTAAGCCTCGACTTATATCATACTCAAATCCGATACCATAATTATAAATTAATAAGAAACATTCAACTCACCAGGTTAAATGATAAACCGTTTCGAGAATTGATGATTTGAGTTAATTGTGGATATTTATGTAAATGTAAGTCGGCATGTATTCAAAAGTTAATGTACACACATGATGTATGCATCAACGTGTGACTTAAATATCAATTCGTGACTATTACATTTGGCTTTCAAAAATTAAGTTGGAAGTTACAGCGGTAGGAGATTAACAAAAACGTCAATCACATCCAAATATCCGAACGACGTCAAGTATTAACAATACACTTTTCGTGCATCTCGATCAAGGCAATGTTCTGTTATCCAGCAATGTGCATTTTGAAAGAAAAAATTCACAAATATCAACAAATTTTATTGAGTAGGATATTACATTCGAAATCAAAACTTTCAAATTATTTTTTTTAACCAAGAATTGTAAGAACTTGAAACATGTTGTGAGTTTTTCAAACGGCATATCCTCATTCACGTTCTTTGACAAGGATGAATTCATTTGGAAATATGGATTTTCTTGTTTATTCCTCAAAACTACCCTTGAAATATAAGTATGTAGGATATTACAGTGTAAATTGACACGTATTTGTTTGCTCCATATCATGAATAAATAAATGCAGTACCGGCTTGCAATATTTGAAAACAGAAAGTTCATTCTGTATTTAAACAAGAAAAAATACATTTATGGTTGGTTTATAATGAAAAATGACAAATAACATACATCTTTTGAAGTAGGGGTATACAGGGACACAGTGGAAAATCAGAAATTTAGGTCATATCCCAAAGATTGCTCCACCAATATGTAACAGAACATCAAAATTATCATTTACACGTTTGCTGATAGGTTTATTGAAAATAATTAACCAGAGGTTTACTTAAATTGTGGCACCAGTCTTAGTAAATGCTGATGAACATACGAATATCGAATGTTTACTAAGTTACTTGGCTTGACCGTTCTGCAATAATGTTTTTAAATCTAGAAATATAGCTTGGTTTTGTATTATACAAAAATCAGATATTGATTCTGAACTAAAATTATTTCATGAAAACAGTCTAATTAAAGTATCATGAAATAAAAGCATAACAACTAGTCGGGATTAAGTATGGGTTGATTCCTCGTGACAATATCACGGTGTCATAGCATGACGGTTACGACACCTCTGAAAACGAGATTAGACGACTACGATCACTGATTTATCCAATAAAATGGCCGCGATGGAACAGAAAACTAAGGTTGGTGCAGAAATTTCTTCTACTGTGTATCAATGAAAAAATGAACGATTTTTGTAGACATCGCATTCGGTGATGCATTTAGTAATGTATATTTTGAACGTATTCTTTGCAAATTGATGCCTGGGGATAACATGAAATAAGCGAAAAACTGTTGAGTTTGAAATTCAAAACTACACAAAATTTAGTAATTTGTTTATTTTTGTCGTTAGGGCATGGTCTACATCGTCTAACGACCTCGGGGTATAAAGATGTAACCTACATACGATCATAAAAAGCCAATTGAGCATTGGAAACCACCTAATTTGTTCTACTTAGACATCGCATTCGGTGATGCACTTAGTAATGTATATTTTGAACGTATTCTTTGCAAATTGATGCCTGGGGATAACATGAAATAAGCGAAAACTGTTGAGTTTGAAATTCAAAACTACACAAAATTTAGTAATTTGTTTATTTTTGTCGTTAGGGCATGGTCTACATTGTCTAACGACCTCGGGGTATAAAGATGTAACCTACATACGATCATAAAAAGCCAATTGAGCATTGGAAACCACCTAATTTGTTCTACTTAAGCCTTGATATTGTATTTTTAATTTGCGGTTACGCCAAAAATCGATTGACGGTTACGCGAACCTCGTTCAAATATGCATCCTAGATTCATTGTTATTAATTTTGTCATATTCATCAGTACTTGATGCTAATTCTTCTTTTGCCTCTTCATTGCTATCTTTTTGACTTAAATTGGTTTCATTAATAAAGCAAGACACAATTTTTTCCTTGCCCTATAGAGGCTCAAACAAGAGCGTCTCTTGTGAGTCCTGAAAACAAATATAAGCAATTCAATATTCAATTTCTTACCCATTATAACAATTACATGGAAATAGGCTATCAGAACTAGCAACCTTAACTTAAAAGATGTACATGCACGTAACCGTCCGCTAAATATCTAATGTACATCTAATACAATACGGTATCGTCCATAGAATTCATACGTAGTCGTCAAACGACATTGCGTTTGAAAGCTTATTATTTACAATATGACCACGTTCCTGTTCTGGATTTGTCATTTTATGGCTTGTTTATACACAGTTTACTTACTGTTATTGGGTGAGTGGCTCTGAGGCACATATACTGAGAAATCACGAGAATGGACTAAAAAATATGAACTTGGACATCTCAGTCGGTAAGTTTACAGCTTATATTCCGCTTCTAGTAAACCACCTGGCAGATTTGGCCCAGCCATTATAACCATCCATATATACGTCACCGAATGGAACTAGTTAAAAAGGAAATCTTATCTAGCTGTGAATCTTGCCTACAGGCGAGAAAGAGGACATGCTGTCTTTCCCATCCGCCATTTTTTGTTATCGTTTCCGCAAAATTTTGCAAATCGCCTTGTCGTAACCGTCATGCTATAACACCGTGAATATGATATCCTCATCATTGTTCCTTTGAATAAAACCCATATCTAATCACTCCCGATAAATAACCGCCGTTTCTTTAAGTGTATGGAATACGTAAATCACTGTACCTGTTGAAGTGCACAAATACTTTTGCATTTTCTTCTCGATTCTTCCCCTTTGCATATCCTCCTGCAAGGTTTATAAGTATGGCCAGCAAAACCATTACACACTAAATATAATTTAACCAATTATCCAACATGATAAAGTGAGTATTTATCATGAAAAAACCAATAGTTCAAACTTTCGAATTGAATGCCAATAAAGACTAGTCACACGGTGTGAACGAAATCACTCCATTAATCAGACATACAAGACATTAAACAATGCAACGAAAAAATACTTTCAAAATGGCCGCCAGATGAAAATAAAGTCGTCCAAAAGTAATCAGCTCTAGAATTTGGCCAAAAGGTATTTATTTCTAGAACTTGTATCCTCTATCATCATCATCCTAAACAAATTAGTAGTGTTCCCGAAAATGACAATAACAAGATTTAATGCAATGACAATATTTATCGAAAATGTTCCAAAATGGCCGCCAGAAAACAAAATGGCCGTTAGAAATTTTTGGTTTTATTTTCAAACAAAAAATCAACACACATAAGAAGTGGTTAAGATATTAGTTCAAATATTTGGGATCGCTGATTATGAATTTATAATATCATAAAATAACTACATTTTCAATGTTGTCATCGATCAAGGTCAAGGTCGAATATCGAGTTGGAGCCCTTGGAGCCAATTCTCCTTGATCAGCTCTAGAACTTTGTATCCTCTATTATATGTACGAATTTGAAGAACATCAAATTAGCGATTTTCCTAAAATTGCAATGACTAGGTTTATCGAAAAGTTCCATAATGGCCGCCAGAAAACAAAATGGCTGTTAAAAAGTTAATCAGCCCTAGAACTTGGTATTCTCTATTATTTTTACGAATTAAAAGAAAATCAAATTAGCGGTTTTCCTGAAATTGCAATAACAAGAATCGAAAAGTTCCATAATGGCCGCCAGAAAACAAAATGGCTGTTAAAAAGTTAATCAGCCCTAGAACTTGGTATTCTCTATTATTTTTACGAATTAAAAGAAAATCAAATTAGCGGTTTTCCTGAAATTGCAATGACAAAAATCGAAAAGTTTCAAAATGGCCGCCAAAAAACAAAATGGCCGTTAAAAATGTTATCATCCTTAGTTAGAACCTCTAATATCATTATGTGTACGAAAAAAATAAGCCGTTTTCTTGAATACACACGATTGCTCAACCAACATGGCGACTATATACCACTGATGATGTGACAAAAACATTAAAAGATAACTTGTTACACAATATTTTCACAATACCAAAGAAAACATTCAGATATCATCTCTCACTTTTATACTATTGAATTATCCTACCTAGAATTGCTGCGACGAGAATGGCAACACGTATATTGCCGCGATGCATCATGTTAAACTCATACATGTCATGTGAAATAAAATCTAGACTTGAGCGTGGATAAATTGCTAATGCAGAGGGGAATCAAGTTCAAGGTCTCGCGTGGTTTGATTCAAAGGTTCTATGTAAAGTTTAAACCATTTATATTATATTTTAGTCTTAAAAATATTTCCAAGAAATGGTTATGTGAAATATTTATTTTTGATTAAAAAGTTCGTTTTGACTAATTCACAATTTCTGGTAACATGCCCAGAGCTTTTTGACATTGCAAGATTGAGCAAAACATTGAGGGGCAAACTAAAAAATGGGTAACGATAATTGGCCTGCAGCCAAAGATGGTCGAGGATTTTTCAACTCTAACCCTAAACATATTTCCAAACCTTAACTTAACCCCTAATCATATCAATGGCCCTAAATTGTTTGTGGCAACGTTGCAACCACAGGCAAATAATTGTTCAACCTATCATATTCAAAACAACGTTTTAGGTCAAAGATGATAATATTCAAATGATAAACAATTTTAAAACCAAACACAAGGCCTTTAATTACTAGCAGAATTTTACACATCTAGAGCGCCGTTGATTTGGTATTTTTCCGTATATTATTTATGTATTGATTACTTTTTTTTGCACTATTCTCTACATGTGTAAAATTCTGCTAATACTAGTAATTAAAGGCCTTATGTTTGGTTTTAAAATATGGTCCTGCTGCATTTCCTTTTTGAATGTGTGTATATTCCCTTCAGTCCCTCAAAAGATACATAAATTTCTCTCGGGGTAAACCCTGTATGCAAAACGTTCCACAACAGAAACTTTATCTACTAGTATCACATATAAAAAAAAAAACAATATGTATAGAGCACAAAGGGGGTGTTTTAAACTAGAACTAGTTAAGAGTCACGCAGGTGTTTTGAGAGAATATCATGAAGATAGTTTTGGAATAAATGAATAATTGTAGAAACCATACAAAACGATTCTTAATTTGAAAAATTATGAAAAAAGTTACTTAACAATTATTTGATTTCAGCCCGCATGTTTTCTCGATCACATATAGCGTTCTAACCAGTACTTATCAGCAATTATTTTGCAACGCAGCCCTTATTACATTTCACGACAGGCTTAATGAGAACAAAACGGCAGCTGCTATTTGAATCATAGCGTCTGCAAACTTATTTTTATAACACCAAGTCAGAAGGGGAGGGCACTTGAGATATTTGACCTCTGAGATTTTTGATAAATTGTCTGATTTCAATAATGTTGGTGTTGTAAATCAACAAAAAGGCAAATCAAGGTTAACGTGACCCATGGGGTGTAAATGTTTGACATTTCGTGATGAATTGTCAGTTTTATTTCAAAATAATTTTTTGATGCCGAAATAATTTTTTGTTTTTTCCTTACCTTCAGAAATTCATAGCATAGTCATTGATAAATCGATTGTCATGAAGTAAAGAAATTGTTTCGAAAGAAACTTTTATCAAAATATCAAAACATTGTACCCCTAGGTCACGTTGACCTCATTTTGACCGTAGCTGACCTTCTTTTCCTGAAAAAACAATACGTTTTTTTGGTAATTTCATATACGACGTGCACGGACCTGGGAACAATTCGGGAAATACGGGCTAATCTCAGCTTTAAGCGTTTATCTCTGCCTTACTACATGTGTGTTACATATCATGTTGAAGTATTTTTATTCGCATTTCACTGAAACTATTTTCCTTGAAAAGTTTGATGGGATCTTCCATTTTTCAGTGAATTATACCCCGACATCGTTAAATACGCTTTAAGGCGTAACATTTTAAGCGTACACGGTTTGTTGAAATTGGGATAACTTTTAAAATAATGATGAGAATCCCACTAAAATTTTACATTTTATTCACTGAAACATGTGCTTTTATGACGTTACAATTGCATAGCGGATACAGTTCAAATTGTTTTAACATATGAACGCTTTTAAAATTTTCAAAATTGTGTAAGGTTTTGAAGGCGAAGGAGCATGCAATTAGTTTGCCTTTATTTAATTCTTAAGGTCTGATTTGAAAATAGTTAACCAAACAATATTGTCATGGCGAAATTTACAAAACAATAACCAAATTCTTCATTTTTCAAATAATGTAACGCATAATGTAACGCATCGATTTTTACCACAAATTCCATACATATCAATTTTTAGTAACACCCCGAGTGGATTTCTTGACCGTTTTTCAAAATCCAAAAACATTTTAGAAATACTGTCCTCGAGATCTTGCTACCCTGTGAATTTTATCATGATTAGATAAGGATGAAGTATTTATTTTTAGGTTGACTAAACTTGACAAAATGTAACGCTCGTCGTTTTTGACGTCATAAGGCTGTTATAGGACTCACTATTACTACTTACTTTTCAGAAGAAGAAGAACGCCATCACATCTTTTAATCAAGGGCGAATACAGACAATAGACGGATTTAAGCAGGTAAAGCTAACACACCGTCCGCAGACTTTGGTATTCCAAGGATACCATTTGCAAACTTTACAAACAAATCAAATAAATGTACACCTCCTTTAAAAGTTTGGCAACTGACCGTTTTCATTAAATGCTCTTTCGATGTTTGAATCTTTATAGCAATAGTCCAACATTTATGACAAATTGATACTATCACTCCCTATAATGCAAATTGACTACTTTCACATCCGCATATGAGTACATCTTTCGAATGTAATTTTGTTTACATTTTCCCTTTCATCCTTTAACGAAAATGCTTATTCAAATTGCTTTTAGCTTTAACCAACAACAATTTGCCATGCTAGCATGTAACATATACAAACAGAATCTTGCCGAGTCTCAAATATACACCTCCTATGTGCAGCATGTGAGCCAAGCTCACACTGCATTTGTTATAAAGGGTTATACGATGGGTGATCAGGAATTTCTGGACCATTGGCTCTATTTTTGCCATTTTTTTATCCTTTCTTACTGATTTTCTCACAGAATATAACCCAAGTATGTAGGATCACATCATGAAGATTTCATTGTTCTATGCCATCATTATTCTATTTTTGTTACCATATGGTAACTGGTGACGCGACAAGGTGGAGCTCAGAAAAAATACCAAAGAATGGGTATCGATATGGCGAACTTTTTGAACACACGTTTCTCTTACACCAGTCATCAAAAATTTCTGAAAATCTTACAAATTGTCAATTTAATGGCCATCTTTTGAATGGTAACAATATAATTTGAAATAGATATACATACTTCCATCTATATTGTTTTAAAAAACACACCAAACACTTGTTTTGTTCTTGGTATCATGTTTCCAGAGTGAAATGAAACATCTTTCCGAACCTCATTGGAACAAAACGACATAAACACATGTTTAGGTCTCTCAATATTGTAATTGTACAAAGGAGATTTTGGTTGATTTTAAAAAAGTATCTTGTTAATGAAATAAAGGGGTTTTCTTGGTTTTTTTTTTATCTATTTTGGGGAGGTTTTGTTTTAATTTTTTGAATACTTTTTTAAAATCAACCAAAAATTCCTTTGTATAACTTTAATATTGAGAGGTCTAAAAACATGTTGTCTGTGCTATTTTGTTCCAACAACGTTCGGAAAGACATTTTATTTCATTTTCAAGAATTGGCAGAAAGGAGCAAAAACAATTGCACTAAAAAAACAAAAAATGTTACCAACAGTTATATAAAAATATTTCTAAATGGTTTTCGCATTAAATTGTTGTCAATCAGTCAACATTACATAAAATACCATGTTTTTTACAGAATGTTTTCAATGATTGGTTTAAGAGAAAAACATTGTTTGATTCAGTTCTCCATATCGATACCTATCCTTTGAAAAACAACAGTAATTTTATATGATGTGTGGACACTGTATTCATTGCTGAATAAGTGACATACTGTATACAATTATTGACCTCTCCAGAGGTTTACTGTCAAAATTATATCCCGAGACTGTAAACCGAGACCGTAGGTCGAGGTTTACAGTCGAGGGATATGATTTTGACAGTAAACCGAATGGAGAGGTCTATAATTGTTTTGTTAGTCCGAAGAATATCTTAGATTAGGTTTTACCTTTTCCTGACTTCTGCAGTTCCACAACCATCGCTTTGAAAACATCGTTTGATGCCTTGAATTCAGACTTGGTAATGTCCATCTTAAGTGTCTCTCTGATGTATCGTGCCACTCCCCATTTAAGAAGCTGAAATGATTTCAACTTAAGTCCACCGTCTTTTTTTCTAATACCAACGTAAAACTTTTTCCAAAAATTATCTACATCTGCCACGGCAGTAAAAGTGCACTCAATGGAGTCAAATTACTCTCCTGGGCGAAGTCCACTAAAAGCTTTGTACAAAGTTTTAGATTTTAGTTTTAGATTCTTCGTATTTTGACTGTCTTTACTCTCTAAGAGACTAATAATATCCTCATCTTCAACATTTTTGAAACGGCTAGTGCTAGTGGCGGCCATTTTATCGTCTGATAATGACGTCATTTTAGTGGAATGCTGGGGATATTATTCACCGGCAATGCATTGCGCGGTGTACAGTTAAAATTATTCACCGCTCGTTGACCAATCAAAATCGAGTATTTCAACTGAGGTACTAACAATATAAGTTGTATTATTTCATGAAGTATATTCATTATATTCATGTTCGTAGTAACTCATTATTATTTCATCAATTCTAATCCTTCAAAGAAGTTACCAGCATTTTGTAAGCATTTGTTATGCTTTTTCATCCAGTCCCGAAAGATGTGATACACGACTACTTTGTAACATTGACGTGTGAATTTCTGAATGATCTCATTACTGTCCTCAAAGTGGATACCTCATAATTTGTTCTTCGCTGTTGGGAAAAGTTAGAAATCACACCCAGCTAATTCTGGGGTATATGGTGCGTGTGGTACAAGGCCACAACCAATGGAAACAATCACATATTTTAAAGTGCCCGATAAAGTATAAAATGCGCATGCGTCCAGGTGTTGATAAACTATAAATAGCGAAAATCCAGGGTTTGTCACCACAAGGTAAGCCAGGACGTGTTGAGAGAACAGCTAGTGCTGATATTGAATTTATATGTAGCCAGATAAGTTTCCTTATTGAAATTACATATGGTTATTAGCAATACTTTGTAGGTGCTAAATAATAAAATATTTAGAGTATATATGAGAGAAATTGGTCATTGCGAACCTGTTGAAAAGTTTGTGGCTCTCGGCTACACCGGGGAATTTACTTCCATGAGTACACACATAAATGTGGGGTTCCCCAAGAGGTACGCGACAAGGTGACCTGGCATCAAATGTGCGACTAAATGCTACTATCGAGAAGATAAAATAACGAATACGACAATAAGTTATTGCATGTGACAATTCCGAGCCTTCATCTCACTGAAGTATTTTGAAGTGAAAATAGGATTTTTGTTTTGATACATGAATTCAGATGAACGTAACTTTATTCTGACAACTAATCAAAACTGAACAAAATTGATTGTACGTAACAGACAATTTATTGTTTTACAATGTTTTGATTGGCTAAACGAATGAAACCAACAAATTATGACATGTGAAATGACAATTTTGAAATGTAAAATTTAAAAGTGACAAACACAACCTCCCTATCCACTCTTTGGGAGCCCTAGTAAATTAGTAATATGTACATGCAGCAGTGGTAGTGTGCAGCTTATTATCACACTACGCTTTGTATTCTAAAGCCTGTTGTTTGTAATAACACTGTTCACTCAACGTATGTTTTGTGTGTGGGCAGTCAACGATAATCATTGTTTTATCCCGGTTATATGACCTCGGCAATTATAACAAAACCGTACTAAACGAAAAAATGCAAATAAGAGAAAGCTTTCACACACATATAAAAAATGAACTAGTATAATCCGCCACTATAAACTCTTAACAAATGTTTACAAAGTGCTGGTAATCACTTTGGGGGATTAGAATTGATGGAAGAATAATGACAGTTACTATGAACATTAATGAATATACTTAGTGATATAATACAACCTATTATATGTTTGTAACATATTCAGCAATGAATACAGTGTCAAAACATCATATAAAGCTACTGTTGAATTTTCAAATTTGATATTTTTTCTGAGCTCCACCTTGTCGCGTCACCGGCTACCATGGTAACAAAAATAAAAGGATGATGATTTCATAGAACAGTGAAATCGTCATGGTGTGATCCTATATATTTGGGTTACATTGTGTGAAAAAATCACTAAGAAAGTATAAGAAATGGCAAAAATAGACCCAATGGTCCAGATATTCCTGATCACCCCTCGTACATTAAGGTTATATACTGTAGCATGTAAGCAGTGCACGCCTGTAACACGGTGACGTATGTGCATTGCTTATAAGTTAAGTGATATGTTGTAGGTAGTACACATTAACTATTTCACCGTGACAGGTGACCTTTGATATTGCTTATAAGACAAGTGTTGTGATGTAGCTGTTACGCCGTGACGTGTACGTATTGCTTATAAGGTAAGTAATGTGATGTAGCGTGGAGGCACTACAAGCCTGTTAAAACGTGACTTGTATGTATTGCTTATAAGGTAAGTAATGTGATGTAGCGTGGAGGCACTACAACCCTGTTAAAACGTGACTTGTATGTATTGCTTATAAGGTAAGTAATGTAGCGTGGAGGCACTACAAGCCTGTTACGCCGTGACTTGTATGTAATGTTTATAAGGTAAGTAATGTGATGTAGCGTGTAGGCAGTTCACGCCTGTTACACCGTTACTTGTATGTATTGCTTATAAGGTAAGTAATGTAATGTAGCGTGAAGGCAGTACAAACCGGTTACACCGTGACTTGTATGTATTGGTTATACGGTATGTAATAAGCATTATGATGTATCGTGTAGTACATCCCTGTTACAACGTGACTTGTATGTCTTGGTCGAAAGAAAGTGATAAACATCATTTTGACGTTGCATATTTATTTTGACTATGTAGTAGAAATAAGGATTTGTACAATATAACGACTGCCCATTTTTACCTGTTCAAATACAATATTATAAACTCTGTTTCAATAAACTATTTAATTATTTTTAATTTTTAATTATATGAATTTAGACCTAGGATATGAGACGATGTGCAAAAATAAATGGGCCAAGATAGCACATTTTTTTAAGTAAGAAAGTCTTCAGAGTTTCGAAATTATCTAGGATTGCAGTTTTATTGTAATGGTCAATCAATGTCGAACTAATGCTATCTAATCAATAGTATGCTAACCATAAGGATGATGGAATGCTGGTGAGGGGATAGCTGGTGGATATCCAAAAGAAGAATACATCTAATTCATGTCAGTTTCAAAATACTCTATTTCAAGTTTAGGTCCATCGAGGAATGTTTTCATATTCTCTGGAGTAGACACCGCGTCTACGCCTGTCTACCCTTTTGTTCTCAATCCAGGTATCATTTTGCTGGTTATAATGCATATTTAATAGTTCTTCCACTGAGGTCAGAGCTCCCTCAATCCAATGTTGATGTGTACTATAGCAGCTTCCAACGATGTGTACGTTTTCGTCCTCAATGGGTTTGATCATTTGTTTAGAAATGTTTTCCCAGTCAGCACCACCCTTCCAGGAATAGAATGCTGACCCTCGGGGTCCACCTTGTTTCCAATAATGCATTACACCTGTGTACGGTTTTGCTAGGTCTTCAGGTCGTAATTGGTGTACCTCTGCAATCTGGTTATGGGCCTCTGCTAAAATCGTCTCTGATATGTTGTACTCGCTAGCAAGCATGTTAGTTGCTAGCGGTGTGGCTAACAGATGACTATCTAACAACGAGTCATCCCAGAATGAAGCATGCGGATAAGGTGAGTACACTAGCATCATTGATTTACTGTTAACGTCTTTTGATGTATAGGAGGTGGGTTTCCCCTTGCCCTTGTAAATCATCTGTCTGACAGGAAGCGTAGAGACAGCCCTCCCTGTTGTGAATCCTAGTTTCTCCCACCATGGCTCCTCATAGCCAAGATACATTTTTAATGCATCTTGTCCATAGACAGCATTAAGCCGAGAGTCAATAAATTTCTGATTTTTGAGAGGTTGCCAGTCGATTTCCATGAGAGCATCTCTATGTAGAGCTAGGATTACACGTTTAGCACAAATGGTAGCTTGTTCCTGAAAGAAATATGTTTGTTTTTTACTCCATGGGTTTGCAAGCATACAGCTAATGATGGAAAGATAAATAATATGTTTGAAGAGCGATCAACATTTCAACCAATGATTTTCAACGTTTAAGGTGGAAGGTTTCTCAAGACACTGTAGAGGATTGGTTTCTGGCATTGTATTCGTCTGCTAAATGATATGTTATTTGACGGCATAAACTTTGCGGTTCCTAATTTATTGCTTTGTTATATCATCCATAGTTTGCATTTGATGAAGGATCTGCCTTGTTCAATAATTCCTTTGTTTCTTTTTATTCAATATTTCAACGTGAATATTATAATCCGTGTTTCTTTTGCTATACAGTACAACAAAGATACAAATATGCACAGAAAATCAACTCACCTTGGTGTCCGATGTGATATAGTTGCTGGTTGTTGTTTTTTGGAATGTTAACAGCTCATTCTCCCCTTGCTTTTCTATGCGTATCAACTTATGGTTCATGTGCACCTTATGCCTGGAAAGTTAATATCATTCAATCAAAGTAAGATTATTCTCTAAACAATGACCAATACTTAAGCTTAAAAAGTTTAATTGATTCAATATATTTGTAGAAAATAGTTCTAAGGTTCCGAAATTACGAATTCATCTATGCTCGTTATGTGGCAGCAACAACTGGTCCCTGGATGGATTAAAAAGCCAAATGGCTCTAACCCATGGTATTGGAGACCACCCTTGCATTGAACCGGTAATATATTCCTAGAATATAAATTACTTCATATACTCATTCTGAATATTAAAGGGAGACTGCCCTTCCTCCAAAGTAAGAATTGAACAAGTAGATGTAACTATAAACGTTGTATAAATGCAATTTGAAAATGTTTGAATTATTTTAAACTTAACTATCCTCATAGCATTGTAATATAATGAAAAATATAAAGTCAGTACATTATCATTCGTCAGTATCAAGTGGTGAAGGTAACGACTGTACCCTTCGCATCTAAGATGGCGGACGGCAAGTGTCGATTCCGATATTTTTAGCTTTCATCGAATTAAACTACCTTATAGTTGACGTTTATGCTTCTTTGATATTTGAACTACATTTTTGCATATTTGAACATCACATTTTTGTCTCAGTCTCATGGGAAATAAAAGTCTTCCCATCCAAGAGTAAGTTGGCTGTTCATGCTCGGGGTCATCTCAACGATAGCCCCTTTGATTGTGACATCTGCAAGAGCAAGTTTACAACTAGGTTTACACTTAAGAAACACATTCAGCGTAAAAAGTGTGCTGCGGTTCTCAGAGCATATCCCTTTAGTTTTGAATATGAGAAATGTGACTGTAAATTCAAAAGGAAATCGGAACTTACATATCACAGGGGGAGGGGGGGGGGCAGCAGGGAAAACCGTCAAATGTCCCGATTGTGAAGGAGTTTTCAACCGTGGGGAGAGCCTACGAGAACCTATTTAAAGGAATGCAAACCCTAAGCTAATTTCTGTGCATGACCCAAGAGTATTAAATCCAGGGCATTCACTGACATATGATGTATTTATATTTATCCCACCCTTAATGCTTTATATGGTTGTATAAAATCAACACTCATCGGAAAAAACTCTTGTGAACCTTATATACAACTCCTGGATAGCGTACATGTATACAACTCCTGGTCCCAAATGGTAGTTCTATTATTGAATCATGGCGTGTTATTGAACAACTAATATGTATCCCGGCTATGGCATTAATGGTTGAGAAATAGGGATCGAAACCAGCCATAGTTTTCTCCTGATGACCATTGTGAATTATTGTGTTTTATGGATTATGGCGACGGCTTTTGTGAATGGATGTTGACCCTTTGAAACGCCAATGGACTTGGAGACTGGATTTTATCTATCCCATATCATTTGAGACTGAATGCTCTATCTTGTATGAGTACTTGTAGCTACAACAATTTTTGAGGTTATGAGTATTGGCTATCAATTGGCTATCAATTTCTAATTTTTTCTTCAACATGTCCTTTCCCATTATATTTGTAATGTTTCTTTTTACCCAAGCTGACCATGGACCATTGACCGTGAGTCTAGTTGTGTCTTCCCCATTTTTAAAGGCAGAATCAGTAAGTCAGATCTATACGGAATGACAAAATTGCAAGCAAACGTGTACGGTCGACCTACCGATATTGCTTATAATCTCAAATATAATATCTCCTAAAAGATCCATATACGAAGTGTCGTCGATTCGTAAAGTTGTTTAATATTCAAAGTGCAAAAATGAGGAAAAAGTATATACTTTGGGGATTTAAAAAAAAATGTAAAGAAAGGTGCACTTTGAACAGAATCTTAAGAGGTTCTGGACAAATCATTTGATTCTGGACTTGTCATATTTTTTTTTCTACGAAATCACATCCAAGGGTTGAATTTTTATTAGCTATTTAGAGAGTGAGTCCTGCCTAGTATTAATTTCAATAAAAAAAAGTTAAAATAGAACCCTATTTGAGAGTCAATCTAATACTTACATTACATTGATAAATTAAGGCAAATCCTGAAATATTTTTGATTGCATTTTTTATGAAATATTATCAAAGTATTTAGATGAAACGGTTTTATTTAAATACAAATCATAACATGAAGATATTTTTCATGTAACAATTTTTAATGAAGTTCAATTAAGGGGTCAAGATAAAACGAGGTAATTTAGGTGAAAACCCTTACATGATGATGTGTTTTCATAACTTCTTTCATAAAATTCCATCAAGGGGTGAAGATAAAATGATCGAATTTAAGTGATTTATGGATCACGAGAATATGTTTTCTTGGATATTTTCTATGAAATCCCATCCAATGGTCAAGGTAAAAGTTTGATTTTGATTTGGTATATTTGGTCACGTGTTCGAAAGATCCATATAAGGCCCATAGAACCATATAGGAACGTCATTTTGAATGTCACGTGATAGATCCATATATGGGTTTTGGAACCATTTCGGGAAAGATGAGGGAAGTCCCTGACACCTGTTTCACGATTTTATCCGAACGTTGTTCGGATCATTTCGGTTTTTATGCACTTCATTATTGTACCGAAGTTTGCCGATTTGATTCGTCGTATTTCGGAATCCTGGTGACAATTTTATACTCCACTTGGAGTATTTTTGATCTACTTCTTATGACGAAAATTCCCGAACCTTGTTCGGATTAATCCGGATTTTCTGACCTACTTTATCTTCCGAGATTTCACGAGTTAACATTCGTCTCATTTCGGAATCCTGGTGACAATTTTATACTCAATTGGAGTATTTTTGATCTACTTCTTATGACGAATATTCCCGAACCTTGTTCGAATTAATCCGGATTTTCTGACCTACTTTATCTACCGAGATTTAACGAGTTAGCATTCGTCTCACTTCGGAATCCTGGTGACAATTTTATACTCCATTGGAGTATTTTTGATCTACTTTTTCTGGATTTTGCTCTACTTATTATAGTTTGACAACAAGCAAATCAAAAAATTCGACATGAATGGGTCTCGATCGACTAACCTACAGCGTGGAAGCTAGGCACGTAGCCCATGAGACCAAAGTGCTACCGATATGAAAGAACAAAAGTATTATATATATATATCGATCGTCAATTCAAAATGATCTTCACTTTTGAATCCACGTAAATACAACTCGTCAGTTGTATCCAGAATAGGTGAACGCCTATGGCGCTAGTGAATAACCAAGCCCAAGGTCAGTGGTTCGTATCCCTTCGTGATATACTATTTTTGTTTTATTAAGTACGACAGAAAGGAGCAAGGTGTAGGTTGAAAACAAGACGTTAGTTTGTTTCAAAACAGTTTGGAAACATTAACCTCTGATTATCAAAAGGTTTTCCACTCCTGAAGGGCCTCTAGATCTATAAAATTTATTAGTTTTTTAGATATATGTGATACGTTTTCATACTTAAGCCTGTAGAATCAACTAAATATTACATTTTGGATTTCATTGATATCCTGTCATAGTCCTAAAATGTTTTTTTTCTGGAACATTATTTTTTCAACACTGATACAAATTTCCCTGAAATATCTACCGTTTCAAAATTCCCGGACATCTTTGGCCCTTTTGACCTAATTTTAAAATTCCCTGACATTTCCAGCACTTGGAAAATTGAATCAATTTCCCTGACATTTGCAGGTGTATACGAACCCTGGAAATATCCCAATGGCTCGCCCTATGAATCGCTAGCACAGATTGGTTTGATTAGTGTTTCAAAATGGTGGACGAAGTGTTTGATTAGATAATTTACATATTGAGCTTCTTAAAGGGGCAACCAGGCCTGTACATAGAAAATTCGAAATTTTTTACTTTTTCTGAATTTTTAGGGCACCATTTGGCTTAACATCTTCTTTTATACATTTTTTCTCAAAATGTATGGATAAACAATATAATTTCAGCATTGAGCAGTGCAAATTTAGTTCAAAGCTTCTATAAAGGGAGTCCAACTTATAGATTTTGAAGATCCGACTCGTTTCAAGAAGAATATCGGCAGCTTAAACCACGCCCGGTGATCATACGAAATGGATGGAGTGGGGGGGGGGGGAGTAGGCGATTTCTGCAAGAAAACTCAACAAAATTGGAAGATTTATTTTTTCAAGATAAAATTTACAACTGAATTGCCAAATGAATAGGCGCAGTGCATGGCAAAATATGTTAGGTCTTCTAGTATTTTTTGAACTGATACGCTTCTAAGATATGAGATCTATTATAAAAGGCGCATCATCTTCATCAACGTGCAAAAGTCAATGTTTTTGCTATAACTCAGGCAACAATGGTCTACACGACCTGTAATAAATAGGTATAAGGGGCGTTATTATTACAACACTGACATTGCTCACTTTTTAAAGTTGTTTCAATGCGTTATACAAAAAATAACCCCATTCTTACAAAATCACAAAAAGTGAAATATCTATTCTTGTATTGCATTTTCTTTCACTGGACATATTTTAATTTGCATTGCTATTAGATACATAAGGGTGATACGAAAATTAAACCACGAAAACAGATGTACTTTAAGTTAAAGGGAACTTTCTACCATACCCACCATGCTATCTGACCCGAACGAGCCACCTTGTGGTGAGACTGGTAACTACCTGCTCGCATCTGCCTTATTACGCAGAGACATAAACGTATACACAAGGAAACGATAGGAGCTAACCTATTTTATCTCTGTATACATTTTAACTTTAATACATCTTTACAAAAAATACAAAATACCTGTATATTGATTTTTTGACCTTGACCGATTCTTCGAATCGAATTTGTCCATAGGTCTTGAAACGTAAAATGCCTCAATATTTATCTTTGACCTTGGGATGACCTTGTACAAGAGACATTAATGTTGGCCTCGGTACATCTAATCATAATTCGCCAAGGGCCATAGTATCATCAAACGCCAAATACCTAGACATTGATCGTTTACCTTTGATGAACTTAACTCTGACCTTTGGAGACCAACTTACTATAAGGTTAAATCGTGTAGAAGGAGA